ATCCAGTAGTCATGATGTCACATTTCCAATCAGTTTCAAGTTAATCAATTCCACGACACATATGTCAGTATTTAAAAAAAAAGACTAATAAGTCCTTCCTTCCTAGTATCTTTACTACAGTAACTAATAGATACATAAATGACCTAACAATTTTGTGTCCAATCCCACAACGCGTAAGTCACTGTGTCACTTAATAAATAATCATATTTTACATAACCACTAGAATTAAAACGAGATTTCCATAACAAGTCCCAGTTTGACAATGAGTCACAATCACACAAAAATTACTAAAAACTTGCAAAAAACACGACCAAAATAAACCAATGTCAACGAACACAAACATAGGTTAAGAAAGACTAAACACTATCTATGACACCACACAATAAAATGCGCGGAAAAAAAGTAAAAAAAAAACGTAAACAAAATACCAACGAAGGCTGCGTTTATCAGAATCAGGAAACGTAGGAAATCTGAAACTATCTTATCGCGATAGTAATCACGTAAAATCATTATCATTTAAGTTTCTGTGACAATGTCCTCGAAAGGAACCGATACAAACGTGGTCGATTATTCAAATATTCAAGGTTAGATTAAAGAAATATTTCGTCGTTCGCAAATTATATCGATAAACTTGGCGAAATAGCAATTCGGTTTTGAATACCATTATGTAATCAGATGGTTTCTGCTAACATTACCATAACACAAACTATTTTGTATCAGCGTTCAGTTGTGTTTTTATAATAACCATTTTAGTTAATTTAGCGTACCGTTACGTTTCATTCAGTTATATTAAGCTTGTTTGTCCATTAGTTTAATAGAATCAATCCTCGATAACTAGGCAAGGACAAGAAGATATCAGAATATAGAAGTTATTGTCATTAGATGCACAATTTTTAAATAATAATTCAAATGTCACAATCCACGTCAAACATCTGCAATCGTGAGACCCCCATCAATGTACTTATCAAGGTTGAATGCATTTGCTTTATAACACCTTATCTTTATACAATCTAAGCTAAAACAGTATTAATTTCTAAATAAATTAGAATTAATACAGTGTGATTACGTCAAAAAATGACCTCTTTCAAACTTGAAAATTTTGTCATCATAAATCAGGAGATCCTGTTCATCATTTTACAGTCCGTGTCCGTCCACGCCTGGGTTGTGACTGCTGTGTGCTTGCTACATACATGAGAGTATGAATTTCGCCTATCTTATTATGTATTCGCGAGAAGAGTAGGGTCTAGTGACAAATATATTCTCCTCTTTCTTCACCACGGGACTTATACGGTACATTAATAAAATAGACTTAACTTCCCAGTAATTTCAGTGGCCACCAATAGTGCATCCGGTGTCAACCAAAATGAGGTGCCAACAGACATTTTATAAACTGTCGCGTGAAAGGTTATCAAATGTATATGTTCGAACTAGCTATGCTAATTTAAACAGTTCGATCAAAATATATTGGGGTAAAATGAACTGAATAATGGTCGTTTGCAACCCCAAACCCCACCTAAAAACCTATATGCTTAGTCGGGTTAACAGCATCAACTCTAAGATCGTGTCAATATTATAGAAATAACAAAATAACTGATCAAAAATGAGTGAAAATCGAATGCATAAGGCTAGTTGGTAAATTCTACATGAATAAATTATAGTTTAAAGGTCTTCAAAACAGTAATTACCTCTTCATAAAATCGGTAAGCAAATAAACTAACTCCTACAATACTTCTAAATCAAAGACACCCACAGTATGCATGCTAAGCGTTCATTACTACGTATAACAAATCAAATCTGTCTGTATGTATATTTGTGGATTCTAACGTCAACGTATCAGTATGTAGGTACCTGGTATTTGTTGATACAACAGGGGTGTTTGAACTGTGGCAACGGCTTAATCCGCGTCCCATTTAGACGCTTTGATAGTGTGCCAGGACCCGGTTTAATTACTTATGATATTTTATCAGGTACTTTTATTCGTAAGTGGCGCCATTTTTGGGGAACTACAGCTAGAGACGATTTATTTATACAGAAATGTACAGTTGTAAAAGTGAGAGTCTATTTCAAAACACAGTAATCAATACGCAATCAATACAAGAAATGAAAACAAATAAATGGCATTCTGATGACGTCAACCAAAACCTTTCTGTTGTATTGGGTATCCATCAACATCTGTGCTAATCAGGGACAAACCGCTAGGACAAACATTTATTCGATTAAATAATTAACAATATTCTTTCATAAATATTAAAATGTCTATTTAAAACTGTGTATTTTAGATTTAGAAGTCATGCATTGTCCTTATAAAATTCGGAATCTAGTACAAGCGATGCATACTAATAGCTAATAATAATGCGCTTGCGCAGAATGAATTGGCAAACACCTGGTGCACTGAATGTTTGGCTTTACGTAGACTTGCGGAAGTTGAGCTGATCTCATTTGTTCCGCACGAAATATAAACTCACCATTGTTTAACGAAGGAAACAGATTATCCTCTTTCAATGGTATCAATTTGGCCTTGACGACGAATTAATTACGTAAAGTAGTTAGTCAGGTTTTGTACTACATTTACCGTACCTACCGTACCTCTACTTTTGTCAGAAGAACAGCAATTTCTCAAGCTATTTGCAATATCATATCTCCTCTTATAATTACTTTGTGTGGATAAATCCGAAACGTGGAAAATCGCCAAAGAAGTAGAGTAACTGATGAAGTTTTTTTATACTTGATAGAGTGACGTTTGGCCACCATCTCGCCTGGTGGTAAGACATGTAGTTCTTAACTCGTCGAGTACCGGTTTTATAGACACAATTAAAGAACAATAGGTCGCGGTCACCGGTGACCGCTTGGTGTTTGACAGTTTAAAATCTACACATAGTAAATATCAGGCCAAAAGACGTAGCGTGGGTAGACGAATCGAAAAAAATGTCCGAGTCGCGGGCAGCCTATAAAATATAAATGTAAGTCAGAACTTACATTTCATCAACATCAACTCAGAAGTTGACGTTCTATATGAAGGACTAAGGAGGAACACCTTTCTTCAGTAGTAAACCTTTTCCGGTTGATGATGATCTTTTCTGAAGCTCAACTGATAGAAACAGCTGGCAGCATAAGGATGTAAGGATAATAGCAGACATTATCTTGTATACGATCAATTCAAATACTTCCAATTGAGACTTAACCTCTTGTCTGTTGATATATGAGACACAATAGAAAACACGTTGTGTCTCGTATAGATCTGCGTTCCAACAGACAAGAGGTTAAACAAAGAAACACATCCACTCACCCACTTAAGTGACTTAACCCTTTGAGTACCGTCATTATAGACACGGTCTATAAATACGGTACTCGACGAGTTAACTCGTCGAGTACCGGTTTTATAGACACAATTAAAGAACAATAGGTCGCGGTCACCGGTGTCCTCGACGTGTTTGACAGTTTAAAAGGTCCTAAACAAATTACAGAAGAAACTTCGAACAAATCAAGCACACAAGCGCCAGCACAAGTTCACAAATCGAGCAAAAAACAAGCAACGGTCACTGATTAGAAGGCAATAATGGAGTACTATAATTACCATCGCTTAAACAACCACATTTCAGGACATAACTTATATCAAATCTATAACTGACCACTGTCAGAGTCAACCACCAACATAGGCCTTAAACAGACTGATGTGTTCGTTAAAGCTAAATCTCAAATAGCTATTATAAAAAAAATAGCGTAAGACACACTTTTTATTATACATACAAACAAGTTTAGCAACAACCATATTGTTACTTATTTAGAATTTCAAATGGCTAATTGTCAAGTCTTTCAATAGTACCATTATTTAGTTTTAATGTTTGTTTAATAAGGATTAAAATTATCTTGGTCTGTCGGAATAGCTTCGTTGCGGCCGCCAAGACATTAAATGATTAAACCCACAGTATTGATGTATACGAATTACGAACAAACTCCCTATTGCGAGATGGTGGCCAAATGTCAACCTGTCAAGGACCCATAAAAAAAATGAATTCTTTTTGTCTAAATAGGGCAATGTTAGGGTACTTGTACAAATGCTAATTACAAGCACGAAAGCATGCTTAAATCGAGCATTTGTTACTTAGTAGCATGTGTGTCGGAAAAATTAGCATACTCATTTCAGGTTTGTTTGTAAATCGACAGGCATTAGATTTTTGGACATTGATATTGAGCATGTCTAACTGTACCTTTACAAACACAGGAATACTGGTCTTTTTTTTTTTTTTTTTTAAGGGGGGAAAATCATCGAATGACTGCTCCCGCCTGGGTGAGGCGGAAGGGAGTGTCAGACTCTTACTGACTAAAAACCACCCCGTTCCTTCTCCTGCACGTCGAGCCGGAGCCCCGGTTACCCGTTAGGTTCTCCGCGACAGGAATACTGGTCTGGAATGAGAATAGATAGCGGGACAATGTAAATGTTGCCATTCCGCCCCGAATTTATTACTATACAAATCTTAGTTTACATTAACGCGATCGAATAGATGAAATTTCGCATTAGGTACTCAGGTTGGCAACCCAATATTTGTTGCCAATGCGGAAAATAGTTACCTGTTTAAAGCGCCTCTTTACCTACTCTTTGTTCAGAAAAATACCGACCACTACCACAATATAAGGTATATTGTGGTTATTGGTGTATTTAATTTATTTCCTCAATATATTAAAAATATTGGTCTAATTGAATTGGACTAATGTTCTCAAAATAAAAACCCGACGAAGTTATCCGATGTTACTATTTAAAACATAAGTAATAAAGAAAAAAAATAGTTGTGTCAAGCAAGACTGCTGATCAGATTCTTAAGGGATTTGAATGTATAAATACATCCCAAATTGATTGACAACAGACTTTTTTCCATGCAATTTATACTTGACATAATATGAATTGTTTACTTAAAAGATAAAGAAGAATTTTCGACTTTCAGAAAGTGTAAAGGATTAATTATATTCTTTACATTCTTGGTTTAAAGGTTTTAATGGCTCACCTGTCAGCCGGAATCATGTCGGAAGCATCATCCTCCATAGATTCATCGCCAACCTCCACCTCCAACTGGACAGGGGGCGGGGAGGTCATGACCGATCTCCAACACACTGAAACATATAGAAGAATAAGTTGGTGCCAATGTTTGACTTACTTTTATTTCTCATTTATACCAATATTATAAAGCCGGAGGTTTTTTGTTTGAATGCACTAATCGCAGAAAATTTGTGGGTATACACAGTAAAAACACCTATTAGTGCGAGCTGAAATTCAATAGTAAATTTTATATAGTCTTATGTCAGTAACCCCCCTTTATTTGCTAATAATTATTATCCAGTTTCTCCTCTTCAAAACAAGCTAAGTGTTAACATGACAGACAGTAGTTACGAGCATATGAAAGCCCTATTCACTACAAGGATGGCTGCTTCTGAGGAAAAGCTTCAGAAACTGTCAGCCCAGTCACCTACACCTGATTTGGCCTTGCTACATGAAGACTTTACTGAATTTAAGCAATTTATGTTGCAAGCACTGGCTAACTTCAAGTCGCAGAGTGAACTACTGGCACATGGACTCGACAGGCACGAGACTGCTATGCGGCACAAGGTACCCCGAGCGGAGAGATGAGCAGTTGCCGGATTTAGTTACAAAGGTATTTCAAGACCAAATGTAACAGTTAGCCGAGCTTGGTAAAGGAAATATCCATGTATGCCATAGACTGGCTTCTTATGGCCGCAGTTCGAGGCCAATCCTTGTGCGTTTTTATATGACAGAGCACCGTCACCTTGTCTGGGATAACAAGAAGTCTTCAAAAGGCACTGGTATCATGATCTCGAGAGTTCCTGACACAGTTGGTTCACCGTGCTTTCATGGCCCGCAAGCACTTCGGAATATCCAATTGCTGGTCAGTGGAGGGGAAAATTGTAATTGTTGCTCCTGATAAGACGCAACACAAAATTGAGTGATGTCGCAGCTGCAGGAACTGGTTGTCAGATTTCCCCTCACACCCTCTAAAGGCACTCCAAAACCAGCTGCTGACCTAAATATACCTGTCCGCATGATTGCTGAACCAGAACCTAGGGTCCAGAGGAAGGTGCGTCCCGCAGGTCGTCGTTAAGAGCACAATTTGTAAGCGGTATGTCACAATATTCTGTTGCGGTAGTTATATCATTGGACTTTGCTCTCAATCACGGTATTAATTTAAGACCAAATTAGTCACTTCGCTGGTAATATAATAATATCGATTTAATATAGTTTCGCCGGTATGTTGACAATTTTTCTTTATTTTTTAATTTACTGTCAATAACAAATTATGTCAGATGTGTCAAATCGTGTTATTGAACTGTCAACGTCAGTGTCGTGCGTTTAGTTACTGCATACAATTATTGTTATCGTTGCATTACTTTTAAAGACATGTTCCTAATTATATTTGTTTCTTCCTATCTTTTTCTTTTCTCTTTCATTAGCTTGAACTATCTTACGGAATAAGTTAAACAGTACCTTAATACATTGATATATCATACCCAAAATTTGTTCTTACAAAAGTAGTCTCTCAACATCAGGAATAAGGTCTATAATGAAGTTAGTCAAGAGTGGTCACTGGTGACCGCTTGGAGATTAAGCAGTTATTTTTATTCTTATTATTTGTTTATAATCTTTCATATTATTATTTTATATAGTCTATTTATTATTTCTGTACTTTATAATTATAACTTTGCTGATCTTAACTCGTCGAGTACCGGTTTTATAGACACAATTAAAGAACAATAGGTCGCGGTCACCGGTGACCGCTTGGTGTTTGACAGATTAATGACAATTTATTTTCATGTTCTCCAGAGTCTAGCAGCTAGCTTAGTTAATGCGGACATAGCGCATCCCATTCGTTTACTCTACACGACAAATTATCAAATCTGTTCTCTTTCTATGCTAAAAATCTAAACAACACCCATATTCATGCACATACTAACTGTTACTCGCGACTTCGTCCGCTTGACTTGACTAACTGGATTTTGATAAATTCTCAGTAGTAGCATGGAATCTGAAATTGTGCCCGGTATATGGCAATAGACTCACCCCCTATTACATGGGACTCAGAACATAAATAGTGAAAAGTGGGTGTTACATTATACAGTGGCATAATGAAAACCTCTGCCTACCCCTTCGTCCCCGAACGCCTTTTATCCCTAAAAGGCGTGATGTTATGTTATGTAATCACTTAAACTCAAACTGCTTTCTTTTAACTTTTTTCATTATATTATTTCATACAAATATAAAAGTAAAATTATCAAAACTTGGAATGAAATAAAAATGCAAAAAAGAAATTAGATAAACATTGAGATAAAACTTATAATACCCATAACACTTAAATATATCATACAACAAACTGGATATCTGATATGTTCATCCCAGTATGTATCATAAATAATATAGATTATATTATAGGTCAGAGAGTGCAGTCAATGACCTAATATCCAAACAGGCAATGTCATAGAACAGGTTCATAACCAGCATATTTGATAAAAACACACCAGCTTTAAATAATAACTACCATTTGTCAGCAGCTTTGCCGACATTCCAGTGGGATATAAAGTAGCATATGGCGGACATAGTCCCTTGAAACAAAGACACCTAGCTACTTTAGACTTACACGCTGACAACACACACATTGACACGAAGGACATTGGTCGTGTGACATGGCCTGTCATTCATACATTACAGTGTTGCAAGTTAATTAACATTGTAACTGAATTTGGGTTAATATTTTGTAGAGAAATATATTTTAAATGATTATTTTATGTTTGATAGATCCTTCTTAAATACCTACAGTCATAGTAAAAAGCATCACATAAAAAATAAAAGTAAATAGAATCTCAAAATTATTTACAGAGATTATTTTAGTAATTTGCTTAATTGTTTATTGAAATTTTGTTACATTAATTGGAAAAATTCGAGTAATTTTCTTATGTGCGTTAACATGATAATCCATTACATGCACACACATAATGTATAATCACTGGTATGTTCGTGCTTCAATCATTTCTAAGTGACATTAAATCAGTACATTTTTTAACATCCTTGTATTAGTAAAATAATGACATTTAAAACGGTATGTATTTGTGTCTGCAGCGCAAAGATTAAACTCTGAAATATGAACAACTGTAGATGTGTTACCTAGTTTCCACTTTAAAAAATCTTTTCGTAATTTTGTCTTTACTTTGATGAAAAGTTGATTCCGCTTAACTTAAAAATAAATAATTATTTTATTTATTTAAACACTGTACATAATGTGCACAAAAACAAGTAATGGCATTCTGTCCTAGTCAACCTTATTCCTTATTCATATCTACATGACATTCAACAGTCTCATGTTACTTTTTTTGTATTACGTTACAAAATCTGATAAAGTAAGTAAACAATTGTAAAATGTTATGCAACAACCTGACTTTGTTCCATTTTAGATGTAAAAAAATTATTAAAATATATACCTTAATACTTAATATTGGAATTAAAAAGAAACTTTTAATCATAAATAACAATATTTAACCTAATTCTTTCATTTTAAAAAAGAAAGAAATCTGGATTACATTTATAAAGAAAATATACTAGCTTCTTTGCGTGCCTTCATATGCGCAATCCTACCTTTTCCATTCCCATAGGATTTTCAGAACATCATCATAATCATCATCAGGGTGCTCACTCTTGAAACCAATCCCAATGTCAATGCAATTTCAATCCAATAAAATTTCAATAATTATTCAATGTCAAAACTATACAACCCCTATCGTAGCTGTTGAAATAGCATTCAGAGTACGGAATATAAAGCTAAACTCAATACCATTCAGTTCATTCAATATCCACGCAATGCGGACGCAATGGGCGCTAGTGTTGCAAATCGAGAGTACAAAATTTCACAATACCAACGTCTATCGATCGGAATTGGATTCAAGAGTAAGCACCCAGTATTTTGTGTCCGTGTCCTGGTTCTAAGTTACCTTCCCCAATTTTCAGCCAAATTGATATAACCATTCATGAGTTATAAATAAAGTAACTTTCTTATAATATACACTACCATCCAAAAGTTTGAAATCACCTCTATTTTTGATCTGAGGTGAATATTACTTGTAATTATTATCTTCAAATTTATTTTACTGAAAATATAATAATTATTTATATACTTAGGATTAAATAATTATAATATTTCACGTGAATTACAGTAAAATAATGCAAAGATATAATATTTACAATTAATATTGATTGTTCAGGGTCAAAATAATTTTGTATTGATTTTGGACAGTAGTGTCAGAGCTCGGGTATTGAATTGAATTTTTGTGATACACATCAATTTAGTCTGATCTAGAAGAATTGTGAGTTTTGGACTCATTTTTCTGATTTTAAGGACTAACTTTTAAAAATATACCATAAAAACATTTTAGGATTTTAAAAAAATAACAGGATAATATTCATACAAATTTCATATACTAGGTATATATCAAACTTGATATATGTACATGTATCAATAAATGTCAAATAATTTGATATTTATTATAAACATCAGGTATTTAATAGTACTAAGCATGCATGTAACTACTAATAAAACAGAAACCACTAAAATCACATTCAAGACTTACTTAATCACTAAACTACAAACTACTAATACTTGTTTAGTAATTTAAAGAGGAGGATAACACATAATTAAATTATTTTTTATCTTATTATGTCATATTAATTCATCTTCATATAGCCTTATTCACACAAATATAGACAACTCCTTTGGTGCAATAAAAAAAGGCAAAAAACATTTTGTTGGCTGACTGAAATCAATGACTCAGCATAAATTTAATTTGTTGTTCAAATTAATTAATATTTTTTTACATTTAAATGTGCTTTATAATATGTCTATTGCTGTGAGAAAATGTTAATAAAAGCAAGAAAATTATAAATATAGACAGACTAATTTTTGGTCCTTTGTTTTTTTTTTTTATAAAGACAAAGAAAAAAGCAAATGTCTGAACTTTGTTTAGGAAGTAGTCTGTAAAAGTAGAAATCATTCTAAATAATACTTAGTTATGCCTAGTTATGCCTTGTCGGGTGCCACTGAAGAAGAAAAAAAAAATAGTTAAGCTTTGTCTCCTTGAGTCTGATAAAAATGCAATCTTAAACTACATTCTAAAGACATGTGGTTCACTATTTCAAGAATAATAATGACAAAGCAGATTCTATTTATGGACAATTTAATAATATGATACAGAATAGAAAATATTATGTATCAGGTATTGAGAATTAGAAGATGTGTAATAAAACAAAAACTATACCTAAGTAGTAAATTTCATCAACCACAAGATATTAATTGTATGATAAAAATAATCAATGAAAGCAAGTGACTTTGGTAGGACCACACAGAATGTAAGTATATAATAATACCATGCCACCACTAGAACATCAACATAGATCAGAAAAGCAGCCATTATAAAAATGCTTTTATAAAACATATGTATTTATCAATACAGACCATTGTCTGCAAGATTTTCGTAAATATTTACATTTGTTCGCCCAGAACAATGGAAAACGCGCAGATTTGCGCAACCACTGGAACATCGACCCAACCTCAAAACTGAAGTTACAGGTTCATACGATAAAAATAAAAATTGTCAATCTCTCGATGCGTCGCAACTAAATTGTAGCAGCCACAACAAAAGAAAAGAATCAGTATATTACCTTTACTTTTCCAAAATGTGTTAAATCATGCAACTGTCGCTGGCACTGCCGAGAAGCGCACAATAACACACCAATTGTTCAAAATTCAGACAACACCAGCAGTTCACAAATGCACTTTCATCACAAACTCACTGTAGACAAAATTTCATGACCATTGGCGCTACTCCAAGCAATCCAAGAAAATTTTTGACATTTCCATCACAGTCCGATGAATATACATCGATGAAATTACGAACTCAATTAATCACTATATTACAAATAAAACTAATTAATTAGCTGCAGTTGAATAGAAAATACAATTCAGCCTTTTTCTAAACAATAAAAATAAAAATGCGAAACTATCCACGGACGCCCAAACGACCGATCCGACATCCGATTGTGCTAGTGAGGTGACGCAAAGTCACGGACAACGAACGATAAATAGAATGAACCGGTATTTTACCAGAAGTTCAAAAATATCGGTTTTTGAAAGAGAGTCCTACCGTTTTAATTTTTTGTTATAAAATTGAAACTAGAAATAAAGAAATCATTTTGTTTATCATAAATATAGTATTGATCGCTTATCCAGCCATATGAAAGACATAAATGGATAATTAAATGTATTTATTTCGGAAATAGTAAATGTTACTTATTTTATTTTATGAAATATAATTGATTTTAGTTGAACCGCGGGTCAGTGGCCAAGCGTGATGGAAAAAGTTCAACCATTTGTTATTAAAAAAATAATATAAATAATATAGTTTGGTAAATAATATAAGAAAAAAATGTCTTTTTTACACTTTTACAAATACGAGAATGATTCGATTTTTGTAAAGTTCTTTGACTTTTTACTGGATTCGTATGCATTCAAGTCAAATATTTTCGGGTTTCGATTCGTTCATGCATGACTTGTTATGTATATACGCTTACTTTTTACCTCTTTACACTTATTTAAAAAAATATTAGGTTCTTATATCACATTATTGTTTCCGAGTATTGGTAATATTGGCTTAAAGTAGACAAAGCTGTAGTGTAGTTGATCGTCTTTTTTCTATCTCGGAACACTGACATCCCGCAAAAAATTTAGGAAAAATCAAACAAATGTAAAATTTTAGCATTTTAATTCACTACTTTTCTAAATAAAAATCTGCTCTTTTTATATTTCAGTAAAAATTCATGAAATGAAGTGTTTCATGAATCATTATTTTAGACACAAGCGACTAAAGTCAAAGGGCACATTTCAAAAACTTGTAAACTAAAAATAATAAATTGAATTTAGTATTTTTAGGAATTTAAAATTCCTAATAATTGGATCTCATTATAAATATAGGCTTCCTATATAATAATAAGATTTTGACTATATATTTTTTATTATAAGTTTTTAATAATTCGTGCGGTAATGGATTAGATTTTTTAATTCATTTGTACATTATTTCAAGTCTTATTCAAGCACAACTGCATTCTGTTGATTGATTCGCTCACGCGATTGTGGAATGAACTCCCGCCGTAGTCTTCCTAGTCACAGAGCATGTAATTATATTCCTAGTGGGCTACAACATGGGGTTCTTCAAGAGGGCAGCGAATAGGTTTTTCAAGGGTCGGCAAAGCGCATATAATGCCTCAAAACTTGCAAGCGTAACATAGGCTACGGTAAACCCCACTTCGCCACCGTCGTAGTATAAAAAAATTGAGCGTTTTTTCTTGCCACTTGCCTTATCACATATGCAAAAATTGTGATTTATTATTCCTACTCTTTATCATCGTAGGAGCAAACCTAATGTAAATGTCTAAACACCCTATACCTCTCTCATTCTGCTTTCCCCAAAAGCATAAATGTTTCAATTGATGGATTTAGGATAAGGACTTACGAAGCGACTTTCGCTCGCGCCCGCCATAGTTGCGGGCCCGCAGCCTTTGTAGAATACAGATATTACTGGCACAAAACTTCGGTCTAGTGAGAAATAAAGCTCCATTCCGCCACCACGGCAGATGCGCGTAAAGTTGTAGTGTACCAGGTTGCTACAGGTACGATACTAGCGACCATAATTATTCCAAACTCTTTTGGGTCAAGCTGTACATAAAAACAATTGCAATAACGAAAACATTTTAATAACTATTTATAATATTTAACAGAGAAATATTTTAACATACAAATAAAAATAATTAAATTAACTTATTAATAATTATTATCCATCTTCCGATTTTGGAGTAGAAAAACCTAATGGTGGATATTTATTTAAAATATCAGCCATTGATGACGGATAAAAAGCCATGAATTTGAATCTGTCGCCCATTTTCGTTGGTTCTACAAGCATTTCATAAGATTTTTTAATTTTTTCTCTATCTTCATCAGATTTTGCATTATCCATAAGAACCTGAAAATAGTTATTATTCATTACACTATACTATTGGTTAATAGTTCTTTGGGTTAGTTATAGTAATGATTAATGACTCCTCACCTTCAGCCTTACTTGGGCTTGACATCTCTCAAGGAAGTCTTTCTGTTTCACAGGTCCCATAACCAGAGCAAAATTTTCAGTTGATGGGGTCTTTGAAGCAGCAATTCTTAATTGAAAGAAATCCACATCAGCTGTTAAGTCACATTTTCCAGGATTTTCCAAAGGATTCACCACTTGGTGCTTGTGGAAGGCCTAAAAATAACACAAATTTTTGTTTAATATATTCCCTTAATTCAAAAAAAGAATTTTAAGAAGTTGATGATAGTTTCCTACCCTAAAAGTATCACCCTTTTCTCCTTCATGTCCATAATCAGCAATGAGAGCTATTCCGCCATATTTGTCTACTCTGGTGGCCAGCTGCCTTGCAATACCAAGACTCCGGGCACTGATCTCCAGCTCTGTTCTATCTCCAGAGTCTATAGGAGGTTTTATTAATGACTTGCATGATACTGTTTCTTCAGCTGTTATTCTGTAGTAAAGCTTCTCCTGTCCATCAAGATCTATTAAGAGTTCTCGCCATCCATCATTTGTTTTCTAAAAGCAGATATTTTATAACAAAATTGGTGTCAAAAACATATTTTCACAATGGGAAATTTAATTCCTTACTTCAAACTTGTGTATGGGCATTACATCAAAGAACTCATGAGCAATATACCAAGAAAAGTTATTTGGTACTTTCTTCAGGTCATTGTACCAGTATACTTTGATACCACTGATAGTTTCACCCTGGAAACAAACAAAAATACATCATAATACACTTCGTTATTAGGTATAATTTTATTTGTACCATTTCCATGAATTACGTACTTCATAGTTGTGTGGCTTTTCAATGCTGACTTCTCTGTGTGATACACATAATTTATTTGCTTGTACCAACTGCATGGTTGATGATATTTCTACAAGATGAATACTTAAGTCTTTAGGTTTGTAACCGAGACGGTTAACTACCTGAAAAAGTTTCACCAATTATATCAAAAGATATTCTCTCTAATCCTTAAAATATTTTAATTTCAGATAAGTTTTTTACGCTTACCCTTAAAACATCTATTAGCAAAGTTGCATTGCCTGGTCCAAGTTCAACAATTTGTAGTGGCTTACCCGTACCCAGTTTTTGAGTTTCAGAGAAGAACCAAACACCCAGTATCTCACCAAATAGTTGACTTATTTCTGGCGATGTTATAAAGTCGCCACCCTGCCCAATAACCTCTTTTTTCATGTAATATCCTTCGGTAGGATTTGTAATAATAATATGCATGTATTCAGCCACCGTAATTGGTCCATTTAGTCTGATTTTTTCCTTTATTATATCCATAATGCTAGGAGCGGTGCCCGGGGCAGGCATTTTCAAAGTTTTTGGGTCCGGACGTTTGACAATTTTGAAACTGTTACCTCTGGTTATTGTTTGTTGTATCAGTAATTTATTGCACATACTAAAAATATGTCGAGAATTCATTTTGTAGAATATAAAATTGAAATTCAATATTTAAGGAAAGAGGTTATTTGTTTTGACAGTTTAATTGACTATTGAAGTAATGACCAAAGAGTACAATATTTGACATTTTACATTTTTTTTAAAAACCTTTGGAAAAACCGGACATTTTAATATCCACCAGAGAACACCGAGAATACAGCATAGATTTAGTATTATAGTAGGTCTGTGGAATACAGACAGACTTCTGTCAGTGAATTGCATCGATATTAGATACCTTTACGGTAACGAGTGTGCGGATTCCTTAGCCAAATTTGCGGCCTCGAACGATGTCGAACGTCAACACTACGTGGTGTACGGGTATGATGTACGTGCCGACACCAAACACAAGCTTTTTGACTCATGGGCTGCAGTGTGGGTAGACACTTCCAAAAGTAAGGGAGCCTACTATGCAAGTGTCCAGCCCGGCATCCGGCGGAGGCCTTGGTTTTCCAAGTACCCTAAGCTCCCCCGCCACACTGTTTCATCCTTGTGCAGACTCAGACTCGGCCATTGTAGTAGCCCAGTCTTCCTCAACAAGATCCGTGTCCGCGACAGCTCGCTGTGTGAATGCGGCCTTGACGAGGGAACTGTAGACCATATATTTTTTTCGTGTCCTTTAAATTCCCAATCTTTTGACCTTTATAAAAAACTCCCCAGTATTCAAATCCCACTTCCAATTAATGTCCACCTCCTTTTAACTCACTTTTCCCCTAAATTAATCCAATGTTTATGTAGATTCATTAATGATAATGAGATTAAACTATGACGGTGACATTTATGTAAATGGTGTATATATCTGTGTGTCTGTATTGTGTACGTCCCCTCAACTATTTTCTTCACCCCTGTACTCATACAGTAAAATAGTTGTTAATATTTATATGTTTACTAACCCAATTGTTTTGTCCATTTAGCTACTAACTACTAAAAACTACCGCAAAGTTAACTTCGACGGCTCATTAATCTGCCGTCACCACCCGACACTGGCAGTATAGTCGACAACATCGTATTGGAGACTCGGTTGCCAAAGAAGAAAGAAAAAAAAAATAGATACCTTTATCTTATCAGTGATGAATTGTCAAGTCAAGAATGTTTGTTGTCAAACAAGCATAATACATGGGAAAACACTTACTACTCGTCAAAATTTATACCAATACTTTGAAACGCCATCTGAATTTTGGATCTTAAAATATCCGCTAAGAGACATATTATTCAAAATATCATTTTCATTTTAGTCGTTTATATTTTACTGTTTGCATATTTCAGCTATAAATATGCTATACAACATTGATTTCAATTAGTTTACTTAGTTCTTTTTTTATTGCTACTCCGAAAACGAACTAAAAAACTAATGTAATAATACAGTTTAAATAACATAACATAACGTCTTTAAACCCCGGAGGGATACGCAGAGGTGCACGTTAACGCACTTATTACTTAATGCCACTGTGCAATGTTGAAACTAATTTTCATTATGCTATGAGTCCCATGTAATACGGGGTGAACTTATTGCTATGCACCGGGTGCAATTCCGGTATAAATAGCATTCGCTAATAATGAATGTACTTAATAAAAAAAAAATTTTTTACTTTACTACTCTAAGAAAAAAACACACAAACAAACACAAGGGGTAGACAGGGGTAAAAAAATAATGTAAGTCGCGCTTATAATGTCCAAACATGAAGTGCTTACAAATAAGTTTTTGCCTCTCAGTTAGTACAGAATGTAAGAATATACTTTTTTGCTAGTCTAAATAATGCCTGACTTAGTCTATTCCTATGTCTAGTTATATTTTCAGGCATTTTATTAAATTCTTACAGGTTTGTCCTATCCTAAAAAACATAATATTTCTATAAATAATACTACAGCTACAGCGATATATAGGTTGAGGCAACGATACCTCTGTATATAAGTGACAGGGCTGAGGCAACGATACCGATATGTCAGAGAGAGAAAGAGTGCGTGCGTGAATGATGTTTTATAGTTCTACAAAGGTTATTGTCTGTTTTTGTTTTTGACTTGAAAATCTATGGCTTAGATCTGGAGGTGCACAGGCTCTTAGGAGGAGTAATCTCCATTATTAGTAAATATTGTTATCTTTGCCGATTATTCGTCCAATGACAACGTCTTTACAACATGCTAACTAAGCAACAACTATTTTATAGACATTGCTATATAGTATTAAAAAAATGTTTATAATTTTATTACACTATTTCCAACAAAAATTTATAAATTTTAAAATAATTTCGCAACTGTGGCAACACAAAATATTAATTTTGACAACATTTACTTTCGGAATTGAAATATAGATGTAGCTAGTAAGTAGTTGACGGTACGATTTTGTGTAGTGTGGCGGGCCAGCAGAATCAAAATAGACGTCATTAGCATGGCGGCGACATTTCGTAGTGTTCAATTCAAAGACAGTAAAAAAACTTAAAACTGCAATAAAAAAAAATTAATTACCTTAACTGTACTGAAAGTGAAACTAACATTTGCCGAATGCCGATTGCTTTACCTCTAAACAATTATTGAAATATATTTTTAAATATCTCATCTTGACTAAAATACCGTTTTTTTTTTATTTTTGGGCATATCCGAAATCGAAATAGGTATTGTTGGCAACCCTGCCGGGGAAATGCCATCAAGGTGAATAAAAAATTATCACAAAATACAATAAAATTGTGCAAGCTAAATGTAATTGTGAATTTGTGAGTTAAACAAAGTTTTATAGAATTGTGTTAAGTTTACTAAGTGATTGCAGAAGTTACATAAATATTTTTTGTCATTGATTTCAGCATCGGTAAAAGTGATCGAAAAGGTTATGTTTTGATGTACCACGTGAATATTTTCATAATGAATTTTAGTTTACAGTGAATTACTTACGTTAGTCACGATTTAAAGCATTTAAAACAATGGGGAAAATGGACGACGAGTTTTATTCGGGTGTTAACGACGTCAAAAGTAATAAAGAATCAACTGAACGCAATGGCCGCATTATCGTGCGCAATATTTCCTTCAAAGCCACGAAAGAGGCGTTAAAGGAGCACTTTGGTAAATATGGTACAGTGCAAGAAGTGAATTTGTTGAAGAAACCTGATGGAAAATTGGTTGGGTGTGGCTTTGTACATTTTGCTGATGTTGCACAAGCTGAAAAGGCTATTGCTGCCACAAACAAGAAACCATTCCTAGGTAAGTAGGATTTCGGTAGAAATACTTATTTGACCTGTTATAACCCGACTTTAACTCGTCGAGTACCGGTTTTATAGACACAATTAAAGAACAATAGATCGCGGTCACCGGTGACCGCTTGGTGTTTGACAGTTTAATCCTGAATGCTACTAAAAAAGTACATGGCAGAAATTAATTTCATTGTCAATATTATAAATCATGTTTAATAGTTGATATACGACTGAGGAATAGCTTACCACCTCCTGTGTAAGTTTCTGATAAATGTAACAAATCACCTCTATCTGTACAATATTCTACCATCAGACATTTTCATGTTTTGGTAAATGCATCAAGAGCAAAACCAAACAGGTTTTTTCACATTATTGTTTGTATTTCCTAGGTACAGGCAATTCAGCTATTCTTCATCAGATCTTATATGATGAATGTTAAATTTGTCTTTGCGTTTAGTAATTTTAAAGTATTTTTATTTCAGATCGCCTTATACATGTGGCATTTGCGGTGTCCAAGAAGGCATATGTGCAGAATATGGAGAACAACTCAGCTAAACAGAGGTTTAACAGCAACTCTGAGGATGATAACAAACTATTTAGTGGTAAGTCAATTCTTTGATAAAATTAAATGACAAAAAATCCCTGAAAACACAACCCACTCCACTACAAGCACAATTCATCTTATTAATCCAAATCATTTATCTTCTTGTTTAGCCTTTTTAACCAACTTCAAAAGAGGAAGGCTGTAGGCCATAAAACATTACACTACCATTAATAGGAGCCGAGCAAACCGAAAGCGCACGAAGGTAGCTAGCTTAACTAGTTGTCTATATTGGTATCGGATGGTTGTTTTTTTTTTTCTGTTGAATAGGCTCTGAAACAAAAACCTACATGTTCCACCATTTCTTTTATCATTGGATAACTACTTGTCGAGGATTTACATTACAATTTTTTTCCCATTTTCCCATTAAAGCGTCATACTCTTTAAAGATGTCAAAAGAATCGACTGCCCGGTTGGCGCGGTGGCTGGGCAACTGGCTGCCGCACCCACGATACAGGACAAAATCCTAGAGTGGGGCAACGCTTTTTGTTAGAAAAAAATTAATCTTTAAACACCATACCAATGGGATTGATTTCACAGGCTAGAATTAATTATTATTTCAATAATATGGGATTTTCAACTCAACTGAGTTTAATTTAGTTGATGGTTTTAATCTCATTAAGGATTATGGCAAATCTATATTATGTTGAGGAGGCCATATTCTCACAATGGGCTGTTGATTGTTCAATTTATACCTTTATTGACATTATAACAAATCACATATTTCTTTATTACAGAAGTTAAAGAAGAAACAAACAACTCTACAGAGGAAAAGCAAAAGAAAGAGAGAATCAACCGTAATGCTCGTCTCGTAGTCCGAAATGTATCCTTTAAGGCTACCGAAGAAACACTGAAAGAGCATTTTACACCTTACGGTGATATATTGGAAGTGAAATTGCTCAAAAAGCCAGATGGTAAACTAGTGGGATGTGCATTTGTTCATTTCAAAAATGTACCCATGGCCAAGAAGGCTTTGTTGAACACAAACATGAAACCTTTCCTCGGTAAGAGACTTTTGAATATTCTACTCACTCTATTATCACACTATAGGTAACTGTTGAGGACAGATTATAATGTATAGAAATTCCAATTAACTTTTGCCAATTATCTTATGAGTAATCGAGGTGGAGACTTAGGATACGCACTGGCTCAATATCACCCTATTCTTTTATTAGGGCCACATTTAAAGAAAAATAAGTTCAGCTCTCTTATGTCGTGGTGGCCCGGAGGTTTAAGACGCCCACTTCTCATGCATGAGGGTGCGGGTTCGAAACCTACCAACGGCAAGTACCAATGTGACTTTTTCTGAGTTATATGTACTTTCTAAGATTATTTAGACACCACTGACAAACGGTGAAGGAAAAACATCGTGAGGAAACCTGGACTTATAATTTCTAATTATAAGTTTGAAATCGCCAACCCGCATTGAGCAAGCGTGGTGATTAATGCTCTAACCTTCTCCATGTGAGAAGAGGCTTTTTTGCTCAGCAGTGGGCATTTATAGGCTGTTGATGATGAAGTTCAGCTCTAAGTACTGGTAGTTTAGAATCAAAAAACTATTCTACATAGGATGATAACAGATACTTTTGTCCAGGTCGTCCTATATCCGTGGATTGGGCAGTGGCCAAGAACAAGTACATGCAGCATGTGGTCAGCCAACAGCTGGAGATGGAAGAAAAGGTGAAGAAGGAAGAATCTGACAGCGATGATGATGACAACAAACCACCGCTCAATGTCACCGCTGATGACATCAAGGACGAGATCAAGAGTGAGAGTGAGTCCTATATCATTTTGTTTACTGAAATATGGTAGTTAACAAATAATCAAACTCAGTAATTTTATCGAATCATCAGAACAATAGTTGTCTATAGATTTTGTATGAGATGTAAAATAACAAAAACCTCTTTTTTTCTTTTCTTCCATTTTAGGTGAATCAGAAGCGAATTCTGATGAGGAAGAAGATTCTGATAGTGATGATGATGATGATGATGATAAGGCTGGTGTTAAGGATGAGTCTGATGATGATGATGAGGATGATGACAGTGAGGAACAGGACGATGATGATGAAGAAGAAGATGATGAAGAGGACAAGGGTGATGAGGAATCTGAAGCTGGATTTAAACAGGAACACCAGAGGTTAGTTATTTTTCTTTCACACATCACAGCCTATATCAATGCTGAGAGATCTCTACTCATCTCCTCACATGGAGAAGGAATGAGCATTAATCACCATTCTTGCTCAAGGCAGATTGGGGATTTCAAACTTATAATTAGAAATTATATAAGTCTAGTTGTTCTCAGTATGGCAAGTAACTAACTGTCTTTATTAAATAAAATATTCCATTATAGGATAAAACTAAACGATGCCGAGGATGGGTGCACGGTGTTCATAACAAACATACCATTCAGCGTGGACAACGACCAGTTGAGACAGTTTGCTGAGAACATCGGTCCTGTCAAGTATGCACTCATCTGTGTCGACAAAATGACTGAACATTCTAAAGGAACTGGATTCGTTAAGTTTTCTGTAAGTTTCTATAATATATTATTGAGATAAAATAAGGTTTATAATGTGGGAAAACCATGCTTTGGTACGAATAGGCCAGCTCGACCGGAGTGATACCACTGCGGTCTCACAAAAATCCGCAGAGGACGCAGATGGCGTGAGTAAGGTTACCGGAAGCGCAGCGCACTTGTAAATTTTTTAAATGGTTCAAATATATATATATGACCCCTTTACACCACTATGGCAATAACAAGTACATGTACTTCTTTGCCAGAGTCTGTATTATCTTCGTCTTGTATTACACTAGGGTAAGGTAACCTGGGAGTCTGAAGGTCCGAGTGCATAGGTTGCTTACACGTGCATCCAGGCGAGATAGTGGTCAAACGTTGGCCCATCAAATATTAACTCGTCGAGTACCGGTTTTATAGACACAATTAAAGAACAATAGGTCGCGGTCACCTGTGACCGCTTGGTGTTTGACAGTTTAAAAAAAAATAACAAGAAAGTATATCATTCTGTTGAAGTGGTGGATGTGGTTGAATAATAGATAATAGCTTGTTATATTTCGTAGTTTTATTAAAAATCTCACAGAAAGCACATGATGGGCGCCATGCAGACGACAAAAGGGAAGAATACAGATAATATATCGACGTCTATGAGAAACTTGCCAACTTAACACTAGATGGCGCTACTTATATTATTTAACTTAAGATTATAATATTTACCTTATTACAACACACCTCCTTAAATTTATAATCTTAACATTTTATCTTACATGAACAGTATTTTAAAGTTATTACAGTTTTAATATTTTACTTAAACAGTACTTTAGAGTAATAATCTGAACTCTTAACTAAATTAATCTTAATTCAAACCTGTTTTTCAAAAATTTTGATTTATCTAGACTCTTAGTCAACATATCTGCTAAGTTACATTTTGTATCAATTTTAATTATATCAATAAGTTTGTTTTCATAATTCTCGTTTATATAATGATATTGCACTTCAATATGCTTTGAATTTTTAGTAAAGTTACCATACTTAGCTATTGCAATTGCACCTGAGTTATCTTCATACAATTTTATTGGATAACAAAAGTTTATATCAAATGACTCACTTAACAAATTTCTTATAAAAAGTACTTCAGTTACTGCCTCTGACAATGCAATATACTCTGCAAAAGTTGAACATTTAGTTACTGTATTTTGTTTACGTGTTTTCCAAAATATTAAATTTCCAAAAAATCTTATAATAAAACCTGTTGTAGACTTCCTATCCACATTATCCCCTGCATAGTCTGAATCAACCATACAGTCTAAAATATCAGCATCTGCATTATCATAATATGTTAACTTTAGATTCTTAGTTTTATACAAATATTTTAACACCCTCATTGCATATTTGTAATGTGTTCGGTTATAACAACTTTGATATCTACTCAAATAATTAACGCTGTACGCTACATCTGGTCTTGTGCCTGTACTAATATACAATAATTCACCTATTATATTTCTGTACTTAATACTTTCATCGACCTCACTAGCTTGCTCTAATTTTAAATTTGTTTCCATAGGAGTATCATATAACTTAGTATTTACCAAATTATACTTTGCAGCCAAAGATTCAATATACTTTGTTTGACTTAATGTCATCACATTTTTATCATCATTATACTCAATATCTATGCCAATATAGCTTTTAATTTTCCCCAAGTCTTTCATTGCAAATCGTTTCATTAAACTTGTTTTCACCTCTTTTATTTTATTTTTATCTTTACAACATATTAAAAGATCATCAACAAATATTAATATGTATATTGGATCTTTGCTTGCTTTTTTAACATACAAACAGTAATCATAACTACTTCTAACAAAATTCAAAGTTTTTATAAATATATCAAAACAATCATACCACACTCTAGGACTTTCTTTGAGACCATAGAGAGCTTTTTGCAATTTGTAAACTTTATTATCTCCTGTTTTATAACCTTCTGGTTGATTTACATAAACTTCTGACTTTACATAACCATTTAAAAAGGCTGTTTCAACATCCATTTGCTCTACAAATAATTTATTTTTACAACTGTATGACAATAAAATTTTCAAAGTTTGCATTTTTCCAACAGGTGAGTAAGCATTTTCATTAAAATCTTTTTGCTGAAACCCTCTTACAACCAATCTAGCTTTATATTCATTATTACTTTTCTTTTTAAAAACCCATTTAACATCAATTACCTTTTTATCTTTTGGTTTTTCTACAATTTGCCAAGTATTATTTATATTTAAACTATTTATTTCAGAATCCATGGCTATTTGCCATTGCTTACTATCATTGGAGTTCATCACCTCCTCGAATGAATTTGGTACATTTGCATCAATATGGTTAACATAAATAAAGTGTGTAACTGGATTACCATATCTAGAAACTGGGATTCTCTTTCTTTTCTGTGATTCTACTAAAACGTCATTTTCTCTATTATTATTTACGTTACTACTAGAATAAGTCTCATCTGCATCTACAAAGTTTTCATCGGTTTCATATTCATTTTTAACCTCTTCATTTGAAACATTTAAAGTATTATCACTTTCCAAATCTTTATTATTTTGATTGTCTACTTTTTCCAAACAAATTAACTGAGTATTTTCTTCAATTACCTGTACATGCCTTGCATTAATTATTCTGTTATTTAACAAAACTCTGTAACTATTTTCATTATAACCCACTAAAATTCCTAGTTGAGCTTTATCATCCCATTTACTTTTTCTTAACACTTCAGGAACTCTAACATAGACTCTACTTCCATAAATTTTTAAATGCTCTACATTTGGTTTGACCCCAAAAAATATCTCATAAGGAGTTTTATTTTCAACTGTATTTGCAATAGTACGATTCTTTAAATAAGCTGCTGTTTTTATTACTTCAGGCCAGTACCTCCTATGTATTTTAGCTTCTCTCATTAAACATCTACCTATATCCATAGCAGACCTATTATACCTCTCCGCTACTCCGTTTAACTCATGAACATAAGGTGGACATGGTAACAACTCTATGCCCTTATACCTTATAAAATATAATATCCTTATTTAAATACTCTCTACCATTGTCACACTGAATCTTCTTGACTCTTTTATTAAATTTATTTTCTACTAAATTTATAAACTCTATAAAACACTTTGCAGTTTCAGCTTTACTTTTAATACAAAATATCCTGGTACACTTACTATAATCATCAATAAAGGTTAAAAAATATTTTTCTCCACCATAACCAGTTGTGTTATGTGGCCCATTCAAATCAGTATGAATAAGTTCTAAAATCTCAGTAGTTTTTGTTCTATTATTTTCAAAAGGTACATTAGTCATTTTACTCTGAATACAATTTGAACATTTCATTTCTGTGCTTTCAATTTTATCTGGCAAACCATCAACTAATTTATTATTTATTATCTTATTTAAGTATTGAAAATTCACATGACCAAGTGCCCTATGCCATTTTTCTTTCTGCGTTAACTTTACAGAATTTGTGCAAACTTCATTTTTTAAGACATAACCTTTTAAGCAATACAAATTATTAATTTTATCAGCAACAACTATCAACTCTCTAGACTCATTATATTTTAGCACTTTCATTTTTAGCTACTATTGTACAACTATTAGTTACCTTTGAAAAACTTAATAAATTTTGTTTTATTCCTTCGACATAATAGACATTTTCTAAATCTACATACTTCACACTATAATAGTTTTTGAAATACATTTTTACAGTACCTACTTTGGTTGCTTTCAAGGTTTTTCCATCTGGTAATTTTACATCAACAAAATCTTTCAAATCTACACTGTCATAAAAATATGAATAATCATTTATAAGATGGTCAGTGCACCCACTATCTAAAAGCCAATTAACTACATTACTATTGTTATTAAATGTTACCTTTTCATTACATCCGGATACCTGGTTTACTTCTGGTTTACATACTTCAGCTGTCCATGACTGGAAGGGACCGTTGCTCGAAGATTCACCTTTAGGATGATTGCTAGATGAGTGGCCTTGACCTCTGCCTCGGCTGCGACCTCTGTAGGATCCTCTCTGATGTCCTCGCTGACCCCGACTAGACGACTGGAAACTTCCTTGAGAACTTTTTTGTCCTTGATTATTTCTCTGAGCGTGCCAACAATCCTTCTTGAGATGACCAGTCTTACCACAGACAAAACATTGAGCTCTTGTGGTGCTGGTTGTATATGTACTCACATTATTTTTCTTGTCATCGCACATAGTCATATTTTTCTCCTTTATTTTTGAATGTACATAGTCCACAGTCCTTTGTTCTTCAGGAATCACGTCCAGAAAATCTCCTATATAACTATAACTTGGTGGTAGGGCTCTGAGCAGGTATCTTAACTTTTCAGGTTCATCAATTTTACCTCCGGCTGTTTTGAATTCGTTTATGGATTTTTCAAAATCAACGAAGAAATCCTCTACTGTGTCGTAATTATTTAATTTGATCGCTTCCACTTTTCCTCGACATATAATTTGAAGAGATGTTGATTGAGTAAGATACATTTTGTCGAACTTTTGTAACATGTCAAAAGCTGTCTTGCACTCAGTGATATATTCTAATTGTTTGTCCGAAATAGTACTCATAATAATAGTCCTTGCCTTTAAATCCATCTTCTTCCATTCCGCTTCTGTATTTTTATATTTCACCGGCATTATGCCTATGGCGGCCTCGTTGCATTCTTTGTATTCCAACAAAGTAACCAACCTTAATTTCCAACTCGAATAGTTTGCCCCATCAAAAATAGGTATCATGATGTCTTCTATTTTAGCTTGTTGTGCCATATTTACGTATATTCTTGTAGATTCAGACGTTTTCAAAACTAACTTTTCCGTTGTGACCGGATAACCTCAATCGTAATTTGATTTCATAATTGCACTTCATATTTATTGACTTTTTCGTGAAACCACTTAACCACGCTCTGCTACCATGTTGAAGTGGTGGATGTGGTTGAATAATAGATAATAGCTTGTTATATTTCGTAGTTTTATTAAAAATCTCACAGAAAGCACATGATGGGCGCCATGCAGACGACAAAAGGGAAGAATACAGATAATATATCGACGTCTATGAGAAACTTGCCAACTTAACACTAGATGGCGCTACTTATATTATTTAACTTAAGATTATAATATTTACCTTATTACAACACATTCAATCATAATTGGATGTTTTTACAGGACAAAGAGCATGCAGATGCCTTCCTATCGTTACCAGCAGATCAGCTCAGGTTGGAAGGTCAAACATTATCAGTGAAGCCGGCGCTTAAGAGGGAGAACTTGCAGAAGGGCAACAAGAAGGAAGCCAAGGACAATAGGAACCTGTATCTTGTTAAAGAAGGAGGTAGGATCAGTTGTGACATCTGACTAAAAATTATACTTCCATCAATAGTCCCCATGTGTAGTCATGTAGTCCCCGGTCCCCAAGTGGTCACCAGTGACCGCTCTCCAGTTACTCCATTATAGACCTTGTATCATATGTTTAGAGACTACTTTTGCATGGACAAATGTGGATTTTTCATAATCGGGGGTTAAGAAGTTAGGAGAACTTTAACTATCCATTCAACCTGTTTGTTTTGAGCTTTGATTACCTACGTTGCTGAAACGTCAAATGCTTGCTGCTATAAATTGTATGTTTATAAAACATCGATGTTTTAACTTTAACTCGTCGAGTACCGGTTTTATAGACACAATTAAAGAACAATAGGTCGCGGTCACCGGTGACCGCTTGGTGCTTGACAGTTTAAATGCCATACAAGAATGACACTATAAACCTATGAAGTAGAAGTTAAAATCGGTTGAACAGATGGTAAAAAAGGTTTTTTTTAAATGTCTAGTCTTAACGCGAACATATGTAGTTGTTAGTTGTAATTAGTAGACCTCGTATCGATTTGTAACTGTGAATAAATATAAATATGGCAATGGTTTCCAGTGGTGGTGGCTGGTACAAAGGCTGCGGTGGGGGTGTCTGCCTCCGACATGGCCAAGCGACTGGCACTGGAGCGTAGCAAGACACAGATGTTGAAGAACCTTAACAGGTACCTATTTAATGTGTATTATTTCAACACATGTACATAATAGTGTAGATAAGTAATTTTTATTTTAATGTCCATTTAGTAGATTGTTTTAAAACGTATTTTTTATTTTTGTACTGAAACGAAGACTTTCGCCGATATATTGATTTGAAATGTCGCGTGACGTCACTTCTATATCCATTTTATACGTAGAAATGACGTTTTAGCCCCCACTTCTAAACGATTCGTTATATCTTATCACTTTATTATACCACAAGAAAAAATAGGTCTCTAATTTTCATACCTTGTCATCATCCCTATTATGTAATGAGCGGCTTCATATCTACTTCACTAAAAGTATCCAATGTGTTATCTCGGAATATCATTCATTTATTAAAATTACTTTTTTCTATGGTGAGCACTCGCTTACCAGTTATGGAGGTTATGGCAAAATATTTTGTAGAGGACACTCTCACAGCCTATTCTAACATGATATGGGTACACTTTGGAACAAGTACCTGGCATGACGGACAGACTGACGGACGATTCTATATGTTTTTTGTTTTCAAAAGTACTTTTAAAAACTCAAAAATCTAAACTACTAGACCTAGTATAAATACTTTTTTAGTTGACTTTTATGCGTCGTACCCCAGGTTCGTGTCCCGGTATCGGCTAGTAGTGTCGAACCTGCCGGCACACTACGACGACGCGAAGCTCCGCAAGCTATGTGTCGGGGCGGGGGACCGACGGGCTGTCGTCACTGAGTGCCGCGTCATGAGGGATCTTCGCACTCCGCCCGGACCCGATGGGAAGAACCCGTATGTACCTTATTTATTTTATCACATGAATCCTCTCTCGCCGTGGGTGAGGTGTGGAGGTTTCTCCACTGATAAATCCTGCAGATGACGCGCTAAACAAAATCAGTTATTCTGGATAGATGTTTGAGTACAAGTATAATTCCATCGCATATCGACCATTTAAACGAGCGCTATGGGGCAGCGGGTGTGTGTATACCAAACATAACTGATATTATATGTCGCAGGCGATTTGTATAATCAGTCATATTACATTACGGCCACCCGTTTAGCAAATCAGGGGCGTTTTTTAATACAACGGCTGAACGATTAGCCGAACTGAATACGGCTGAGTCAAAATCAGCCAGATAGTTTCCGAAGCTATGCGTTATTCAATATAGCTAGCCATAATGTAACGGAGTGGTCAATATTCCCAATTTATAGTTACAAAATTTTTACACGCGCAGCGCTGCTTGGCGTAATAATATTGGTTTCTTATTAGGTGTTGTTCTCTTGGTTTTCGAGGGTGCTAAAACTGATGGTGCTGTCAAAATGCTGTCGAGGATGACTGGGGAAATTTTATCTACTACATTAACAATTGATTGTTACAGGTCAAAAGGTTACGGCTTCGTAATGTTCACGAGACACGAGGACGCTCTCGCGTGTCTGCGGAAACTGAACAACAATCCAGATGTATTTGATAAAAATAATGTGAGTACTACACTTTCAACTTTATTGTTCTGTAATAGAGTCGAAAATCTATTGAAAAAGTTTCTATTGCAATTATTTCATTATTAAAATAATTTTATTTGGTAAACTAAAATGAATTATTATTTTTTCTTCACAGAGACCCATCGTCTCATTCTCAATAGAGGATCGAACAGCATTAAACGCAAGAAAGAAAAGATTAGAGAAATCCATAGCCAACAACCCGCTCGCAAACAAAGATGGCGGCCCAACCACAGACAGGAGAAACAGGAAACGGAAACCAGAAATAGCACCAGACGAAAGTTACGCTAAGAGACGGAAGTTTGGGAAACTTAATAAGTTCAATAAAAATAATAATCAAGGAAATGACAATAGGAATCAAAATTCAGAAAATCAGGGCTCTACTAATTTTAATTTTAATAGAAATAATAATAAAAATCAAAATAAATTTAATAAGAAGGGCCCTCGACAAAATAATGGGCCAGGTCAATTTGTAAAAAAAACAAGTAATAGTGATTTCGGCGAGTATACCGGCCTAACGGCTAAGGAAGGTTCACAACACAAAATGCGGAGCAACCACAAATTGAAAGCACAAGCCGAGATCCATAGGCAAACAGTAAAAACGGAGAAGAAGCAGAGTAAAAGAACCCAAAGACTTAAGATGGCGGCGAAAGAAAGAATAAAATTGCCAAAACAGAAGATTAACAAAAACCCGAATAAAAAAAGGAAAAAACATCATAATCAATCGAAGTTCGACAGGTTTTTGTAAGCTTTTGGAAATATCTGTAATGTTAGGCAACTAGGTGTAATGAGATACAGAGATGCGAAAGATCCTGGGTCAGGCAAAGCATATTTTGTCCATCTAGTCGGCATTTTGACTATTCATGTAATTGTGCGAAGAGGTTACTCAACACATTAAATAGAAATAGAAATAGAAATTTATTCGCAGGAACATGTGATACAATGGATCTTAGTCTAACTTTCAAACAGTACAGTGTATTCCACCTTTTCCAGGCATGCAAATGTTTGTTTATAGTAGGCACTTTATATAATATAGAATATAAATCCAATTTCATTGATTAATTATTACGTAATGTCAAAATAATGATTCCAAAATGTCAAATTAATTTTTTAAATACATGTCAAGGCAAAATACATTATGTCAAATACATTATGTCAGTAAAATTACATGTCATAATATTAAAATCTATTTCGTTCTACAATTCCATAGTCAATGAAGTCTTTAATACTGTAAAAACATTTTTCAATTAGCCATGCTTTCAACTTAATTCTAAATTGACGCAAAGGTAGTTCTCTAATAGATCGAGGAATTTTATTATATACTCTAATTGCCATTATTGCACAATTCTTGCCATAAAGAGTACTGCGACAATTATCCATTTTTAGTTTGGATGCATCTCGTTGTAAATGCTTACTATCTTCATTCACTCTATTAAACAAGTTATAATTTCTCACAAACATACCAATCTCAAAAATATACAGAGATGCCAAAGTCATAACGCTCAGCTTTATGAAAAGCGGTTTGCATGTCTCTAATGGTCCTACTCCACATATAGCCCTAATGCATTTTTTCTGAACTATGAATGCTCTGTCTATATCACATGAATTGCCCCACAACAACAGGCCATACCTTAACACAGAGTTCACATAACCGTGATACGCCAATAGCGCTGAGCTTTCATTTGTCGTTTTGCGTAGTTGCCTAAGTGCATACACAAATTTATTTAATTTCTTGCAGACATTTTCTACGTGTAGTTTCCAATTACAGTTTTCGTCTAGTATAATACCCAAGAATTTAATATTGTTATCTTTAGAGACCGATTGACCTGAATAGCTGATATTTAGCCTGGGGGTTTACGCTTATAATTAGCAAACTGAACATATTTAGTTTTGGAGACATTAATTTCCAAATCATTGTCCTGAAGCCAGTGTATAATGGCCTCTAAAGTCTCATTTATTTCCTGCTCGTAAGGTTTTACTTTTACTTTTCCTGTGTCGGACACCACAACAGATATATCATCAGCAAAGAGGACACATTTTTTATCGGTAATATTAGGCAAGTCATTAATATACAAAAGGAATAAAAGCGGTCCGAGGACGCTTCCCTGTGGTACGCCTGTTCCATTCATTTTAATCGAGGATTTGTGAGATACTGAGACTAATTTTTCGTTAACTCGAGAAATCTCTACGTACTGCGTTCTATTGGTTAAGTAACTACGCAACCAATCTTGAGCCGGTCCGCGGATACCATACCGATCACATTTATCCAGCAGTTTACTGTGATTGACTAGATCAAATGCTTTGCTCATGTCTAGAAAGAGTACAGTTACAGGTAATTTCTTGTCTATAGTTTGAGTGATAGAGCTTATCAGTGAGTATGCAGCGAGTGTGGTAGATTTACCAGCTTGAAATCCATTTTGTTCTTTTTTTATAACATCAAATTTATTAAGAAATTCCGTGAGTCGTCGATGCATTATTTTTTCATAGATTTTTGAAAAAATCGGTATCAAAGTTATTGGTCTATAATTAGTTAAACTATACTTATTATCAGCATCAAGGACTTGGAAAATAGGCGGACTTGTCACTTGGAAGTCGAACCAAGGAACATTGGAAGTCGAACCAAGGACATGTGAAGCCTGCCGATTTCGCCTGACATATTATAGGGCGACAACGTACGCCTTATGACCGACCGAAAGTCTGGCAATGTCGCACTACTCCATCCACGTCGCCGTCGACACTCTTTTCTTCCGTTCTCAGTTTGTGAACTTTCATATTTGATTTCATTGTTACTGTTGTAAATAATTTGTTAAGCGAATTATATATTAAAATATTTTTACTTTAATTACGTTGTTTTTTTTAACGTCATGTCTTTGCTAAAGACAACATTTACTTCCTTATCTAGCTAGCTTATCGCTAGCAATAGCAGCTCTGTACCTATTGATCGTCATCATTATCAACAGCTGAAAGATTTCGATTTTACTGAGGGATTTTCGATGACAAGATTTCGCGTAACTTCCCGAACGCTGCCCATCCGAGTTGGATTCTTCGGGCGACCTCTTTGTCGAAGTTGGACCTGCCTAGCTGTGTAATCTGCCATAAGTATGTGTAATGGTCTACAAACAACTTGGAGGATATCGTTCCCAACGATGACCGGTACAAGTGCAACATGAATGTTTGACATGATTTTAACACCCACCTGTTGGGAGACAGTATTGAGATCGCTGAGCATGGTGTTTAGGTTCTCCACCATGATTACTATGTCATCGGCGTAGCGGAGGTGTTTGATGTAGTTGAGACCGCTCCAGTTTAAGAGCTTGATAACGTCCTCCAATGCGTTAGTGAACGGTTTCGGAGAAATCACGTCTCCCTGTCTCACGCCTTTCTGCGTTTAGATTGGTTCCTTGCTCTCTTCCTGGAGTCGGATGCGCATGGTGGCGTTTCTATACAAACACTTTAGCACATCAATATATCTATAGTCGATATGGCATCGCTGGAAAGACTGCAGCACCGCCCAGGTCTCAATCGAATCGAATCATAGTCCACAAACGCCAAGCATAGTGGCAAGTTATATTCTTCGGTCTTGTGTATAACTTGCCGCAGCGTATGAATGTGGTCTATAGTGCTAAAGCCTTTCCGGAACCCGGCTTGTTTGGGAGGCTGGAAGTTATCAAACCTGCGTTCGAGTTCAAGACGGTTCGAGAATAGCTTATATACATGGCACAGAAGCGAGATAGGTCTGTAGTTTTTCAATAAGGAGTTGTCACCCTTTTTGAAGAACAGAACCACCATACTCCTTTGCCATGCTTTCGGTGTAGTTCTTTCGAGAATGACTGAATTGTTTTGGACGACAAAAAGTATCGCTTTTCCACCCGCTCGCAGAAGTTCTGTCGTGATTCCGTCCGATTCCGTTGTTTTTGAACTGTCTGAGAGGCATCCTTATCTTGTACAGGCTGATGTCGGTGATATCCTCGATGTAATGCCGTGCCAGATTAGCTCTTGGATTCCGAGATGTACCGACAATGGGTTACCGCGTTGAGGTGTATAGCTGTCCATAGAACCTTTCAAGCTCTTTCAAAATCTCTGACTTCGACGAGACGATGCCACCATTCTCGGTCTTCAGTTTCGTCATTTGGCTTTGCCCAATTGACGAATTTCTTGCGAACACTGATTTCGCTCGATGGGATCCGTGACTCGTACGGCGTTATATGCACGCAGGTTGCGTCGCATGGACTTTGAAATTCGCCTATTAAGTTTGCCGTATTCAGACATGTCAACTGAAGACTATAGCCTCATCTTGAGTCGGTTTTTCAACAATGTAAACGTTTCGTTCGAGAGCTTTTGCGAGTTTTTTGGCGTGGGATTTTGAATAATTCTGATTCTAGTGCTTGGACAGTTTCCACCAATCTATTATTTAACTCGTCGTTTCACACTGAGCCAGGTACTGGAAGCGATTATCCAGTTGGAGCTGGAACTGTTCGGGGTCCTGAATCTGGGCGCGACCAGGACGGAGTGTGGACCTCACTAGACGTGACCTCTCCAGCTTGACATTAATATTCAGTGTGCCTCTGACAATACGGTGTTCGTGCCGGTTTTCACCTTAGCTATCACAGAGACGTCACTGAATATACGCTTGTCGGTCGCCATGATGAAGACGTTCTCATTTTTGGTATAACCATCGGGGCTTGTCCACGTTCACCTCCTAGCTGGTCGCTTTCAGAAGAAGGAGTTCATCAGAAAGAGTCTCCCTCCCCATAAAAGCGAGCAGCCGCTGGCCCCGACGGTTTCGCTGCCTATTGACCTTAATGTGGTGTTTTACAGTCTTGCTTGACGGCTTCGCCCGCGTTCACATGGGAGTAAAAGTAGCCTAGGTGTTGTTTCAGATCATAATCCCTGTTCCAAACATGCATCCCGATCCTTTCAGCCGTTCAAAACGTGCAGGATGCAGGATTTTCGATTTCACAGTTAACTCGTCGAGTACCGGTTTTATAGACACAATTAAAGAACAATAGGTCGCGGTCACCGGTGACCGCTTGGTTTTTGACAGTTTAAAGATAGCTGTTGCATATAATTAAGTCCTTGGGCAGCTTCTGACCTTTTTATCTGGCCTTATTTTTTAATCTTAAGAATCTGGCTTATAAGACTGTTAGTAAAATATTCTGATGTCGAGGGCCAAGTTGTATAAAGATTAAGGGGGTAGTTTACCCAAGGTCATCCTCGTCCACCAGTTAGCAAAATATGAATTTACAGGGAAGCATTTATCGGGGTTACGAATTTTTTGTTAGTTTTAGCTACGATTCAGACTGTTCCGTATTTTCGTCAGTTTTAGAGATATTACATTTGTCGTTTTTTTTTGTGAAATGTTATTTAATTTTTTTTTTGATTATGATAAATAATAATAACAACCAATATTAAGTACATTTTTTATTTATGTATTTCCATATAAAAAAAAACTTTTATATAAAATATTAGTTAACAAAAATGAATACCTACTTATGTATTTAATATTATTTCATAACTATTATGCTTGTAACTATATTAAACAGACAATAAAAAAATACAAAAATTGTGAACTTACAAAGATGACTGATATTTTGACTTTTATTACAGTTTTTTATTTATTTTTTATTTTAAAGTTCTAAATATGTACTTACTTATATAGGAATATTATCTTAACATAAAAATGGTAAAGCATTCAAAAGTACAAATGTCAGCAGGTCAACCCTAGGTACTTAAAGTCAATTATTTTTCATTGGATCTTCGACCCTATACCTACCGAAAAAAAAGTTAAAAATTGAATGAACAAATGCCACAGAAAGGAGAACGTTTGATCTGCTGGTCATTGTACGGTACAATTATATGTATGACTCACATAAATGCATTCGATAAAAAATCAATACCTTTTAGTACTTTGGCAAAAAGCCTTGTAGTTAGTAAAAAGTTAGGTGTCGTGTGACCGTTTTCACCAACCACCCCAAAACCTCCTCTTAATCTTAATTAAGAGTTACTTAGCGCGAGGGACCACTTAAATTAACCTCTTTTACTACGAGGTGTCACATGAAGGTTGGTGAAAATAAAATGTCGTTAGCTAGAAAGGTTCTTTTTTAAAGAGGTTGATGAAAACGGGCACTAGTTGCTTATAATTGCGCCTTCGATTAAGATACCGATGTGCAATGACGCTTCAAAGATCTATAGTTTTTTTTGAGGGTGGGAAATTATTCAATGACTTCTCCCGCCTTTGGTGAAGCAAGAGTGTCAGACTCTTACTGACTAAAAACCACCCTGTTCCTACTTCAGAGGCCTTAGTACGAATTTATTTTTCGTTTAAAGTTATCGTTACGAGTATGCGTTCTGCGTTGTGATTGGCCGGCTCCAATGAAGCAAACAATCAGCTTGGCCCTCGCCAAGCACGAATAACTATCGCAATCGTATCGTAACAGTATCGAGTGCGTTCGGCGCTCTGATTGGCCGGCTCAAGTGAACCAACCAATCAGAACGCTTAACTCGCTTGGTACTCTGAGCGCCGGACGCCGTCTCATTTCGATTACTTTAAATGAAAATGAAACATGTACTAAGGCATCTCGTCTTCGAGCTCGTTGAGTTTTCCGCGGCTCCGTATCGGGCATCGTCTTCACTGGGCCATAATAGTCTATGACTTGTCTTTGAGTAAGCCACATTCTTTCATGTGCGAGTACAACGCCTGCTTGTACTCCTGCGGGTGGTGGATGTAGTGGAGCACGTGAGGAGACTTGTCCCAGCATTTGAAGTTACACTGTGGATACAAAATTAACAATATTAGAAATTAAGTAGCTTCCGTCAGCGCTTTCGCCCGCGTTTTCGTGGGTTAAAATAGCCTTTCTTTTTTTTAAGGGGGGAACATCATCGAATGGCTTCTCCCGCCTGGATGAGGCGGGAGGGAGTGTCAGTCTCTTACTGACTAAAAACCACCCTGTTCCTTCTCCTGCGCTTCGAGCCGGAGTCCGGTAACCCGTTAGGTTCTCCGCGACTCTGTGGTGGTCTAATGGCTCTTTGAGGCGCGCGCGGAACACGTTGCGCCGTACGCTCGGGGTAAAAATAGCCTATGTGCTATTCTAGACCATAATGTACCCTTGTTCTAAATTCCGCTCCAATCCCTTCAGCCATTTTGACAAACAAACTTGTTTTTATAATAAAATAACTATCGGCTAGTTAGTAGGCAGTACGCTGCGCGACATCGCCGCGACCGCACACGCTGCTCATGAGGAAGAACCCCTCTGTGGTTCGAAACTAGTAGCGCTTTTCTCAGTATATTCACGTAAGTAACCCGCGATTTTTAGTTAGCAAACAAACTGGCATTTATATTAGTTACATTATTTGTTTCATGAGTCAGAGCCAGACTTTGGAATGAATGGGCTGGCTCGACTGGAATGATACAACGACCACTCTCCTTGCGTCATGTACAGTCGTGTGAGTGAGGTTACCGGAGGTCCAATCCTCCCCCATATCCCCAATCTTCAAGCCTTAACCTCAAATCATCAATCCTTGAAAGGCTGGTAACGCACTAATAACTAATTTGGTGTTAGGAGTGCCCATGAGCGGCGTCCATTGCTTACCATTAGGTGATCCGTCTACTCGTTTGCTAAACTACATTAAAAAAAAATGCGCTATACTAAGATTTTCTCCTGTGTCGTGAGTGCGTTTACAAACATACAAGTTCACATACACATGACACCCAGACCCGGAACAATAATTTGTGGATCACACAAAGTGTTGTTCCATGAATCGAAAACGCAACACGGTGCACGGAACCCGGTTGCCCAGCCATCGCACCAACCATAGAAACAGAGAAGATTTCTACAAAAGAAAATTGTTGTCTAAAAAATAAAAACTGTTTCAGTCAAGTCATCTTGTTATTTACCTTGATTCCACTCCTGACCCAAGAGTCGTGCACGCTTCGGCTCCTCTTCTCAGCTCCTACGAGGTCAGTCTTAGAGACGAGGAACAGCCCCGGCGCCCTGCAGGGAGTGTGATGGAACACGTCGGTCGCCTTCATGTAATGTTTCGTCGCTACGTTATGAAACACCTTCATGTGAGTTCTGGCAAAAGGGAAATATATAATTTATTGTTTAGAAAGGACTTTTACATATACAACACAGAAAAGACTGCCTTATAGGTAGGGTGGTTGCAACTGCTGGGCAAGCTAGCAAAGTATCAAAGTTTTTATTAGTTTGTCGCAAATTTCTCAATGTTAGTCAATCTAAATGATCCGATGATCGGAGCAATAAGCTCAACTTTTACAGATAAATACTTACTTAATATAAGTCCTAAATAATTCCTGCAAGAATTTGTTGCGTGGAAACACAGCGCTGGGGAAGCCGACCGGTATCTCATGGATGTCTGCGCCGGAGTCAAACACCTGGCACGCCACACGGTCTAATACTGGCTGGAATCTAGAAAGTAACCATTTTAAAATTAAATTAATTATAATAATTGTGCAGTTTAGTTACTTGAACTTATTTTTGAGAAACGCTCGACTAGTTTCAAGTTATTCCGGGACTCGTACTTATGAGCGTTGTTTCAAGTGGGTTTTCTGTAAGGACGTGGTATCTCCGGTCGAGCCAGACCACTGTCCCACGAAAATTTTTCACCAGTTCCGGTGAAGGATTACCTATATATTGGTAATAATTACCGTTTTTTATCATTAACAGCGTGGACCAGCAGCTCAGCCCATACGTAGGCGCCGACTGAGAACCCGTGCACAGTCAGCGGGTTCTGACTGTTCACCTCCATAAACCGCAGCAGTTTTTCTGTTAGTACCTGAAAGTTGACCAGAATACTATTATTTATTTATGTTAAGCGTCTTACGTAAGCGTTAGCCGTTAGGCGAGGTAACTCGGCCAGTTTCAAGCCACGCTAGGGGTTAATATTCGTGAACAGCATTGCTGGAGTTGGCTGCGTGACATTCGCCGCGTCGTAGTAGTGTCTCGCGCAATTTACAAATTTGATCCTTTTCAGCTGCGATCTTCAATTCGCATGGGACTTATGGCATGGAAATCCCCCCCCTCTTTTGAAGAGGAAGGAACAACTTCAGGAATGTAATCTCACGAGTTGTTGACAACGATTTGCTGTTGACTGCACGGTTGGTGCGGTGGCTGGGCAACTGGCTGCCGTGCAACGTGTCGCGGGTTCGATCCCGCACGGAACAACACTGTGTGATCCACAAATTGTTGTTTCGGGTCTGGGTGTCATTGTGTATGTGAACTTGTATGTTTATAAACGGAACCACGACACTGGAAAAAATACTAGTTTGGGGCAAAGTTTAAAAAAAAACAACGATGACGATAAAAAGGACTTAATGGTAATTCAAGTAGGTAGGTAGGTACATACTTGGGTTCCTTTCGCCGGCCACATGAGCTGCCAAGGAGTGCAGGTCACGGAGAGCACATCGAAGTCATGGTCCAGATACAGCTGCGCGTACTTCTTAACGTGGTTCGGCTTAGCCATCATCCAATTCATGATTATACATAGTGGCTTGTCTATTTTCTCGTTCAATCTGGAAATACCAATCACTTCTTCATTTCTTTGATCCTAGATTTATTTAAGACTTTCCTAAAATTATTGGACAGATTTGGTGAAAGAGTGATCTTAATGTGATCATGATCTTTTCACAATATTTTTTCTTATGCTCCTTGTTTGATTAACTCACTACCTTAGCTCTTCAGTATAATCGAAGCTGAACAGTGGTACATACTTGTTGACAACTCACTTCATAGTTTTAGGGTCAGCTTTTAGTTTGACCTTGTCGTTGCTGATGTACACCATGTTCTCGTAGACAGTCTGTGTGTGCGCACCGCGGGCCATCCCCACCATCGCCACGGGAGTACATTGTAACGGTGGGGTTGATGCCTGTAAAAATAGTTGTTATTTTTTTTTATTTAAGTTTTATACAATTGCATAAGGAAGACTTAATGCTAACGGCATTCTCTGCCAGTCATTCTTTGGGTAGTGCAGAAATGTAAAAGGTTGTGGTAATTATTCATATTAATATAAGAGCTGTTGTTATGTTATCTAATTATTATATCTATTAACACAATGGAGTAAAACGTCAGCCTATTACTGACAAAAATGTTAAAAACCACCCCTGTTTCACTCCACTTCCACTCCTGCTCCGTGCCGGAGCCTTTCATCCGCTCAGTAGGAGGTACCTTTATTTTTTATGGGATTGATAGGCCGCACTGATACCTGATGGTAAGCCTAAAAGAGACGTTACAAGTGCTATGCCTTTTGGTTTGGCGACTTTACTTGAAACCCCGGCAGAAAAATCAAGCGTGTATTCGCTACTCAAATATATATTGCTATCTCTGTCACATTCAAGCGTTTTATAGAGACAGAAATAACACAGAGGGTCATTCTTGACTTGTGGTACGAATATTATGTATAGGGGAGAACCCTTGACAGAATCAATACTCCTACAAGTGGAGGTTTCATTTAGCATTTAATTTGTTTTCTGAATTGTGGCTTTCATTTTCCCAAGGTGCAGACCGAGATATACCCAGGCTAAGTATAAAATATTATTTAGTACTTACACTTTGACTAGTAAGCAATCTTTTCCCTCGGCTGGCGAAACGTAGCGTGGTCCCCAAACGAAACGCTTCCATGGTGACCTGGCAAGTTAGATTAAGACATTAAATAATTTAACTCGACACTTAACTACTTACAGATTGATTAACTTTAACTTTTTATGGGATAAGACAGCAGACGAGTAGAAAGATCGCCTGATTTTAAGCAATCAGCGCCATCCATGGACACCAACAACATCAAAGTGCGTTGCCATTCCTTTGGGGGTTAAGGATTTGAGGGTCAGTCCTCAGAAACTGTCAAGAGTTTGGGGACTGAAAATAGGAACTAGGGCGAAAATTCTGCCCCCTAGTTCTCTGGTATGGGTACCTGGTCACTCACACACACACAGCAAACATCACAAAGCCTGAATTTTTGTTAGTACCTTACTGTATGTTGAGTAAATGCCTACATATAATACACAATACACATAATTTTATGTTTATCATTTATGATATATAATGCTTTCATTATATAGGTACATTTTAGGTTACGTTATTCTAAATGGACAGTACCTATTACAGCTATCGAAATCAGGTCAATTAAATGGTAATTGTGAGTCATATCATTACAGCCGGCTGCTTAGGTACCTACTAAACTTTATGAAACAGAAGACAGCGAAACGTGAACTTTGTGCAAATTTTAAATAACAAAAAAATATATTATTCTATTTAAATAAATAAATCCACTATAAAGATGTAAAAATTATAGCACCAATATAAAATTTTAAAACACAGCTCGATATAGGCAATAGTCCTGCACATAAATAAATATGGTCACAGCAATCATCATCATCATTAGGTAGGTAATTTAAACCATCTCATTCACATTTTATAGCTACGACTATGATACAATCTTTGATTAGATTCATAACATTGATAAGCTGTTCATACAAATCATGCCCACACTCTACAAAGTTCAAAAAATTATGTTTATTTATACCTAGTTCTTTAGGCAGAATTTAAATACTTTCACTGAACTTTGCACTCGCAATGAGTAAGTAGTATAAGAAAACAATACATGCATCTTATTAAATTAAATAGGTATACCGTCTCCGCTAAAATATTAAAAAACAACATACCTTTAAAAAATGCGTAATTTAAAACACTTTTACATTAAAAATATTACGAAAATACATTCGTTTTGTGTAAAATATCACGGTAAACACATTTGGTATGTAAAGCGGCGACCGGGGGTTATTGACCTCTGCGGGTGACGCGTGTATCAGTGGCGCAAGTTGTTGGTATACTGACGGTAGTACGTCGGCCGGCGCGACGCCGAATTCAGCTCAAGGATAAATAATGAATGAGGAAGCCGAAATATCTTTCAAATTGGTTTCTATTTAGTTTCGTTGTGTTCTATTAAGTAGTTTAACAGTACTTCTTGCTATGTTTTCAGTTATGAGGTGAGCAGTAAAATAAGTTGACTGTTGGTTGGGTAAGCTATATTTACTTACATGTTTTTTTTTTGTTAAAATTATTTAAGTATGTACATCAAAAAATTATTTAAAAAATCCCAATGTTATTTTTTTTGCCCCGCGAGCCACAAATATATTGAGCACAGATATATTTTTAGTATTTCTGTGATATTGAGGAACTTTTTATCTTAATACTTACATAGTATATCCTTTGAAATCTTCCGTAATTTATTGAGGTAAGTATCCATTAATTTAGATAGTGCTTTTCCATTAAAACTTTGCAACTGTCTTCCATTCCAAAATCCCATCTCATCTTATAAAAATATTTTTCTCTATTTCAGTAACAGCGTTGCTGTAAATACTTTGAATGAATTGCTCCGTACTTGAACTAAGAGAATCGGTAAGTGCAATCCTATCGAAAGATTTAGATTGTATTGCATACTAAAACCAATCTAGCTGCTACGTCATAAGGTCTATTCTCTCTAAGTTATTTTCAAAAAACATCGCAAAATGTGCAATATTTATCCTCTACTGCACTTATCAATGTAGAACGATCTGAAAATCTATGCTAGCGTAAATAAAGTAAGTGGAGACTAGAGGAACGACTAGTATTCGTGTTATTAACATTAATTAGGTTAGTTCCTTCTTGAACCAGTGTTGTCTATTAACCTGGTACACAATAAGTAGGTACCTACGTAATTGCAATCTTATGTATTTCTGGTTACCGGGACTCAGGCTCGAAGCTGGAGTAGAAACGAGGTAGTTTTTAGTCAGTAAGAGTCTGACACGCCTTCTCGCCTCTCCCAACATTGGATGATTTTCCCCCATCAAAAAGTCATAAGTATGTATTTTGGAAGCAATCATATACCATTTTATTGTAAAAAATCCTCCTACACTCTCATTACAGGATTTTCCCAATTCGACAGTGAGGCCTAATCTAGTTAAAAAACATATAAAAAGAAGTTATAAGTACAACCAACGAAAACAAAAAAAAAGTTGTTTAAAAGAAATATGTGATACGTATCGGTGCCGACTGCCGACATATGTACCTACACCGTGATCAACGCCGTGTCACGACGCCAAGATCTGCTGAATCAGGACATTCCACCTACTTTGATGCAACGAAGGTTCTATGGAGTATTGCAACATCCAGTGCCGTAACTAGCCTTCTAGGCGCCCGGTGCGAGCTTTCAAAACTGCGCCCTTGAAAAATGTCCTTACCAGGCTGTGACAATAAAATGGACAAATGTGCATGAAATTAAAACTGTTTATTATGTACCATGTTATAGGTCGGTACTTAGTAGATGTTTTAAGACAATTCGTTGCTGCCATTCCGCCATGAGATCGCGCCGGAGCTCTTCCCGCCACGCACTTATCTGGCACGGCAGCGGAGTTTCGCCCCTGCGACGTGCCTCCGCGCGCATGCGATACACAGCACCTTCGCCTCCAGACGGCGGTAATCTGGCAAGGAGGTTCGCCGCCTTCCCGGAGATCGTGCGGTATCCGCGGATCAATCGGATCGCCATGACCCTCTGTGACATGAGCAGCGCCCGAGCGGACCGCCGCATCAGGTTCGGCGCCCACACAGGGGCGCCGTAGAGGGCCATGGACCGCACGACCCCGGCGTATAACCTCCGGCAGGAGGCGTTTGGCCCCCCGAGGTTGGGGAGGATGCGCTTAAACGCAGCCCCCGTCCTCTCCAACTTTGGAGCCAAACATCGGAAGTGCTCCACAAAGTTCCACCGACTGTCGAGGACGACTCCTAGATACTTCATGGTCGTCTCGACGCCGATGGTAACCTCTCCCGCCGTTATTTGGGACTCACCCGGAGGTGGCGTATTCCCGCGGCCATGAAAACACATAGTCTCGAGTCCGAATTGCCGGATTCTCTCAACAACTGTCGCAACCGCCGTCGCCATTAAGTCGGCCGCCACCTGGTGCAACCTCCCGTGCGCTAGCACCAGCGTGTCGTTGGCGTAGCATATGATGGTAACGCCGTTCGGGAGGTTGGTGCGCAGCACCCAGTCATAGCCCATGTTCCACAGGAGCGGCCCCAGAACCGAACCCTGTGGAACACCTCTGTGACATCTCTCGCCGGTTCCACTCGCCCCGGTGACCGGGGTAAATGACGGACCTGTCCGTCAGGTAAGCCTCGATTACACGACGGAGGACCCCTGATAATATCGGAGTGCCTCCAAGATGCAGCTCCAGGGCAGGGAGTTTAAGGCGAGGCGGTTCGAAATTATTCTTTCGAAGACTTTCCCCACCTGGTCGAGCAGCACTATTTCCACGTTTTCCGCACGAGAACCAGTTTACCCGCTTTCCAGAGCAGCGTGAACTGGCCTCTCTCCAAGCATGCGCTGTAGAGACCGATTAATCGAGGCCCGAGAGCCTCTGAGGCCAGGACTAATGCTTTGCCATACAAGCCGTCGGGTTCTGGAGCGATGTTCTTGGCGCCCATCCGGCGCACCGCCGCTCTCAGTTCTGCCTCGGTCACCTCTGAGACGATTTCGTTGTCGTCGTCGCTATAGCTCGCGTCGGGCACCGCAGGGGGCGGAGTCATATACGGAGGGGTGAAGCCGCTCCACAGTCGGGGGAACAGGGCGCCAATCACCTCCTCTAAGACTTCTGGCCGGAGACTGAGTGAGCGGGGGAGACCAAGCGCGAAGGACGGATGCGGCGCCTGCTGTGCCTAGTGTACTGGCGTCACGCAGCAGTGCACGCCTTGCGTAGAGCTACCAGCTCTTGCGACCACCAGTACACCTGGCGCTTTTGTTGCCTCGATCGGATCTGGGGCATAGCCACGTCACAAATCCTGGACATGGCGTCCTGGAACCACTTGTTCTCATCATCAATGTCGGCAGGCCTGACCGGTGGTATCACCCAGGCCTGCACGATAGCGGCTTCCAGGAGCAGCTCCTGGTCCAGCTGTTTCAGCGCCCAACGCGAGCCACATGGGGCCTGTCTGACCGGCGGGTCTGCGGACTCGGCGGAGACGTCGAACCGGATATACCGGTGGTCGGAGTAGGTACGTCTCCTCCATGACGTAACTACTACAGCCGCGGTCCCAGGGGCGAGGAGCAAGGCAGCAGCCCGTTTCTCCCTGCGCTGCTGCTGCCGTCGCTGCCGCTGCGCCTTCTTGCGGCGCTTACAGCCCTCCTTGGCGACTCTCCTCGCCTCACCAGCGATTTGCCACCCGCCGCGGGCACAGACGCCCAAAGTTATAATATAGGTACTTTTGTTTGTGTATGTAATATTGCGAGCAAGACTTAAGGTGGATATACATTTGTCTGATGTGTAGTGAGTCGTTTGACATGTGTTGTTGATTCAAGATCGTTTAAAAATGCGATACAGATTTAGATAGTACAGTCTGGTCATTTCTGCGCCCCTCCAGGGTCTGCGCCCTGTGCCTGGGCACCGCTGGCACCGCCCTATTTACGGCGCTGGCAACATCCAAACTGCTGAGTCGTCTCCTCATGTCGCCGCCTCGTGCCCAGCTGCGAATCGCTACATCATCAATCACCCCACTAGATTTAACCTCGATAGGTTTTATTGAAAACCTTTCGAAATAATTTTAAGACATGAAAGCAGTGTTGTTCTAACATCGAACGCATTCGCACTTAGGTTGGCTAGATTTTAGGAGTTATCATGTAATTTTAATTATAATAAATAGATCATAGTTTCCATTTGCAACCTCCGTCGGTGGCAGAAAAATAACTGGCGCAGTAGGTGATATTCGCGGGCCGGTTCACGAGCGCGTTAAATTTATCTAATATCGATATGTGTGATCTCGAGCTACTTGGATCGCTATCAAGCACCGTACTAATATCCAGAATCTACGTGAAGCCACAGCAGAGGATATCCAAACATTGATATAGCAAATGGAAACAAGAAAAAAATCAAAAAGTAGAAGATATTAAGGAAAAGAAAGGAAAATACATCAATAACTTTAAATGACAAAATTACTTACGTGGAGTAACTACCCCGCAGCACTCCAACGTGGCATCGGGATATCCACCTCCTCCAGGGCAATCAGGAGTAAATGGCAACGATACATGTGAACGAGGCCCAAATCATTTGCATAAATATGAGGTGGCTCTTCTTCGTCGCCCACAATCCGTATCCGTGCTCGAACAGACACCCCAAGAAGGCATCCATGGGTTGGAAATCCATAGCGAGCACCCACGCTTTGGCGTCGTAATGGTCTATACCGTCGATGACCAATACGGACATCATGATCTCCCCATGAGCCTGGCCATAAAGGCGCACTGCTGGACCCGTTTCTCACTCGGACCGAAGTTTATACTCCATATTGAGGAAAAATTATATAATTACCGTAAAAAAGGGGGGATCTATAGCGCCGGCACTGCAGCAATAATTGATGACGGACTAAGTAATGAACAAAGGAATAAAACTTTGCATTGAAGAGGGATCAAATATCTACACCACAGGCAAAAATGTTCGTCATCGAAGTTGCACATAAGCAATTGGTCAGCTAAAATTTATCGCTACTATCAGAAAGGTCTATTTCTGTCGATCTGGGAGGAACACTCGTTCTCCATGTTATCTGCAAAGTCGAGAGAAAAATCGAAGAACTTAAAAGGACAAACCATGGAATAGCGATCAGCCCTATTCTCGACGTTAGTCTTCGAATTGTTGCTGTTCTGAGGGTGGAGATGTTACGTATCGACACCGTGAACAACGCCGTGTCACGAGGCCAAGATCTGCTGAATCAGGACATTACACCTACTTTGATGCAACGAAGGTTCTACGGAGTATTGCAACATTCAAACTGCTGAGTCGTCACCTCATGTCGCCGCCTCGTGCCCAGCTGCGAATCGCTACATCAATCACCCCACTAGATTTAACCGCAATAGGTTTTATTGAAAACCTTCTTACGAAATAATTTTAAGATAAGAAAGCAGTGTTGTTCCAACTTCGAACGTATTCGCACTTAGGTTAGTTAGATTTTAGGAGTTATCATGTAATTTTAATTATACGACACAAAAAAACAACAAAAAAGATTTTCATAAAAGTGTATTTTTATCTATTACATTAAACTAGAGACTACAGTGCATATTCTCTTATACTATAATTATCTATATCTATATAATATAAAAATCTTAAAACTAAACATGATAAATTCATTGTTTTAATACTTAGGCCCTGATCCACAATTTTCTAGATAATTTTAACGAACTATTTATGATGTTTAGGAACTAAAAAATAAAAAATGGTTTTATATATTTAATATTTAATGATACGTTTGCAATGGTCGAGTATGACAGTAGAGTAATGGCGAACGTAGTTAAATTAGAATTCTTGTATATTTTAGCTAGGAAAATAACAGGGCACAACAGTGGGCTCTTCAAATCTTATAACACGGGGTTCTTTAAAAGGGAGCGAATAGTTTTCTTTACCCCTGGTATTCCGGGAGCGTAGATGTACGCGAGACACAATGTGTTTTCTATTGTGTTTCATATGAGACAAAATTCAAAATTCAGTGTAAATACTAAGAAATTCAATAACACCAGTTTCTACCAGCGTCTTCGGACGCACTAATAGGCGATTCTCGTTTTTACCGTTCCCGTGGGATGTTTTAGGGAAAATCTGTCTTAGTGCTACTCTATCTGATTGGATGGTTTATTGGAGTCGTACTAAGGCATCAGATGTACAATCGACAAAGTAAGCTGTCGACCATCATTAACCGATGTTCGCATGACCACAAAGAGACCAGCAGCTGTAGCCAAATGCCATTTAGCACTTGTCTACATGTACAATAGAAAACGAAATTATATGGAATTGACGTAAATTTTGACACTTGTCAGTGTCATCCCCATACATTTAGTTTTCTACTCTCTCTGTAGACAAGCGTTAAAGTGGCGTTTGGCTACAGGCACTGGGTAGATAGCCAGTTTGTCACAGGAATTGGTTTGAAAACAGAACTACTGTAAACTTTGACAATATTACATGGATAATATTATAACACTCATGTTTCACCAATGATATTATGTTATAATATTTAAAATGATATTAATATTTAAAATTGTAAAATTTAAGTTTCGCTTTTAAAATGTCTCGATTATAGACTGTACTAGGATGAAACCGTGCAAATGTTTTTTTAAAAAAAATTAAAGACGAAAAATAAAACAAAGAAATGCTTAACGAGTGTTAAGCGTTTAAATGTTAGATTTCGTGATTAAAACGTGTTGTCTCTTTCATTCCCATAGTAACCATTCGATGAGGAAACGAGACAAAAGTATTTGAGGAGTTCATCATCAAAAAATTGGTTTAATAGTTATAAAAATGTACCAAAATATTCTATTGCAGGAACCAATTTATCAATATACGGAAACAGCCTTAATTCCTATCGATTTCGTACAAAATTTCTTTTTAATCTTAAGTAATATCCATTCTACGTCAATGTACATAAAACTCTTTTTAACATAATTCTAAACTTATAACAGGTTTTTTGAGAAACTATATCTTATGTGTTAAGTAATAAAGTTGATTTTGTAAAAGTGTAAATTGGCCAATTATTGTCGAATCAGGTTTAATAGAGATTTAATGACGTAACTGTCATTTTCAAGGCAACTAAGTCTTATCCCTTGTGGTATAAGCAGTTGTGTTATGTTAATAATTATTTTTCTTCAAAATCATAGTTTAAATTATACTTTATAAATATGGTTGTCAGACAATAAAATATATTTTTGCCGACCCTGGAATTAAACCTGATCTTATATTGCGACACAGGCGATAACATCATCGTCCACAAACGAACACAAGGCTCCTTTTTATGCCATCGGAGCCTTAATCCCCATACTTGGCAAATGACTTGGCGATCGCAGTTAACAAAAACCGAAACATCTAACACCTCTGCTTATACCACAGATCTACAACCACAAACTATTCAATAGAAACGGACCCAACTAACTAAATTAAACAACGAGACCCATAGTATACAACGATCTTTTTATGAAGGCATTATCACTGAAGTTATTCTTGTTAAAACCAAAGACTAACAATAATAGCCAAGATGCTAAAGGCTAACAAAAAAACTTCAGTAAGAATACTCTAAAACAAACAAAAATGTACTTTACCACATTGCATTGAAAGTTGATTTTTAATTGACATTAAATAAACCTGAATGCCAAAGCAAATAGAGCTTAATTACATTGTTTTAAGGTTGTAAATGTCTCGTTGTGTAGGAGTTAGTGTTTATAACCTCATGCGCATCTTCTCAGGTTGGGAGACGAGTCCGTAGGCGTCGAGGTGAGCGTAGAGAGCCGCCACGTACTCCTTGGGGTGTTTCGTGTAGTGCTGGACGTGAGGTGACCGGTCCCAGCACTTCCAGGTGCACTGAAATCAAAGACATATGTCGTGTTATAGGAAAATTCTTTATCATTGGACAATCTGATTGGACTATAAGTCTCCTCTACAAGTGAGGGCTTTGGCATAATTTCTACATCTCCATGTTTGGTAAAGAGCTGCCGATCTCTGTCAAATGGCAGTCACCTGCCCACGGGAATAGTAGGGGTGTAGGGAAACAACGCTTGTGTTTTGTTGTATAAGTGAGATTACAAGAGGCTAAAACCTCCCCAATTCCCAAGCGGCCCTCAGCGGTCGTTCTCCGGTTTGACGTTTCTAATTACCGTATTAAAATATGACAGAAATCAAAGATACCAATTCAGTCATTAAGGTTAAGTTCAGATGTTATATCGCGCGGTATAAGATCTAAGCGAACAGCTAGTATCGTCTACATGAACGCGCGGCGTTCCGACCAGCGCCCTACTCATGTGAATGCTCGTACCGCGCAATCATCTGAACACAGCCTAATGCGGCAAGTAACAATTATTGTCATCTTGTAGACAGTGTTTAACCCGTCGTGTGTCTAAACGTGGATCCACGTGAGACACAATGTATTTTCTATTGTGTCTCATATACTGACATAATTGTGGTCATAGTAGGTAGAAACGTCAAACCGGAGATTGCCGCCAGAAGGCCGGTAACGCATTTGTAATACCTCTGGTGTTGCGGGTGTCCATGGACAGCGCCGGTTGCATATCATCAGATGCCCCGTTAACTCGTTTACCGACCTATGTTTTAAAAGAATATATGATCAGGTGTTACCTTCATTCCCATTTTGACCCAGCTATCGTGCACGCTGCGATTGCTGCGTTCAGCTCCGACGGGATCGCTGCGAGACAGTAGGAAGAGAGCGGGCGCGTGGCACAGGTTTGTGTGGAACAGTTGAGAGGATCTGATGTAGTGGGACGTGGCGGCCTCGTGGAACGTCTTCATGTGGTATCTGGAGACAGAACATTGTCACATGTCATTAATTAAAGTTATATTTCTTATCACCTTATACATCTATCAGTTGTAATGATTGCTATTTGTATCCGCGAGTGTCGTGTCAACTAAGGAAGTATTTATTTATTTACACTTTAATGCACACAAAATAAGGTACATAAGGTGGACTTAATGCCACATGGCATTTTCTCCCAGTCAACCTTTGGGTTAAATGTAAGGTCAGCGAAAATGGATATGTGTACTATACAAAAAAAAACAAAGTAGGTGTGTACTTTGAGCAGGAGCATCCTCGGATATACTTGATTCTCTTTGAATCTGCGACCTACAATCCGCTTGCCAAGCCAAGTGGAGATCACAGCAAACCCTTGTTATCTAGAGGTGGCCAATTGTTTATTGTCTTATCATAAAACTTTATCCGTAACATTTATTTACGCTAGGCTTACCAATGCATAATTTTTAAATAATTAGTTTAATTATTATGTATATTATGTAAACCAAATAATCTTATACTTTATTATATAAAGCTGAAGAGTTTGTTTGTTTGAACGCGCAAATCTCAGTAACTACTGATCCGATTTGAAAAATTCTTTTAGTGTTGGATAGTCCTATTTTCGAGGAATGCTATAGGCTATATAAAACATCATGGTACGATCATTAGCGCCGAGCAGAGCGGGTGAAACCGCGCGAGAGTACCTAGTTATAAATTTAACTGCAATCAAAAAGGGTAATAAATAACTGAATTTGTAAATATGCGTATACCAAGCATCTCTTTATACAGAAAAAAGCCGGCAGGTGTGAAGGAAAATGTAATCACTTTTTAATCATGATTAAGTAATGTCTGGCACTGAAAATATATCTGATAAAGCTGCAGTTTATTCCGGAACTGCTTAAAGTACTTTATCGTTTACTTTGGAACATTATTATATTACTACTAGCTTTTGCCCGCGACTTCGTTCGCGTGGAATAGTGAATTCCGGCAGATTTTTGGTTTTATCCACATAGTCCCCGATCTCGCGGGATTTCGCGGAAATTAAATGTGGAAGATATTCTAGGGAACTATTCAAAAATCAACATAATGAGCTCTGCGTTTGAATTGAAGATATGTATACTCACTTAGGGCATTAAAGCCTTTATTGCCGATCGAAAAAGGCGAAAATGTTATTTGTCCCTTATTTTAAAAATACAAGGTGTAGTTTTGAAGTCGTGTCATTTCTCGGGGGCATGTCACAGAAGTCATATAGGTTCAATGTAAGAGAAAATTTCGGGTCAATAGTTAAAAATACGGCTATAATAAATCGTTTAAGTTGGACAATATTTCAGAAAAACCGACAGCAATTCTTCTTATTCGAGTTTTATGGAATTAGGAATAATATCAATTACGTGTTTGGGTTTGTGTGTGTTAAGCCGCGTTATAAAGCTAGTTACAAGACGGCGGCGTGTAGTTCGCAATTACGGATTTCCGTAAATTACAGAAAAATGAAAAATATTTACCTACAATTTTTTTTATTGATTCGGACTCAGAATCGATAGCCGAGTTACCTCCTAGAAAATGACGTGGCTTTAAAACAACACCTTGTATTTTTGGTTTGTCATTTCAGAAAAAAGACTGTTTCTCCCTTAACAAATTTTCTATTATAAAGTTTCTTACACCAAGACATTTCTGTATACCACGTTTTTAGTTTTGCCATCCTTTTCAAAAATCTTGCAAAGATTGCAAAAAAAAAGGATCAAAAATCAAAAATTAAAATCTTTGCAAAAAAAATGCCATAGGTCTTGTGGTTTTGACACTCTTGAGCTCGCAACGTAGAAGTTGTCCATGGGAGAAACAGTCCTTTTCAAGATGTACTCCCGCAACTTTAAGCGTTTGCCCTTGGCCTTTATTTATGGCTCGTCAAGAAATGAGAAATATCTTTAGAGCTATACACTCCTTAAAAACTTAAGTCTCGACGGCGGACTGTCAGTTTCATAATTATAATGAACAAATATAACTACGATAACGTGTACATTTGTTAACGTTATCTATAGAATAATGAACATACAATGTATTTGAACTAATTACTTTAATGGAATTACTCGTCTGTCTGGGATTGATAACGTTTCAATGTAGATGCGTACGTATAATCACTGCAACGTTGATTACGTGGTGGCCCGGAGGTTTAAGACGCCCAGCTCTCATGCACGAGGGTGCGGGTTCGAAACTTAGCAAGCGACGGCAAGTACCAATGTGACTTTTTCCGAGTTATATGTACTTTCTAAGATTATCTAGACACCACTGACAAACGGTGAACGAAAACATCGTGAGGAAACCTGGGCTTATAATTTCTAATTATAAGTTTGTAATCGCCCACCCGCATTGAGCAAGCGTGGTGATTAATGCTCAAATCTTTTCCGTGTGAGAAAAGGCTTTGCTCTGCAGTGGGCATACAGGTTGTTGATGATGATGAATCACTGTCAATTGAAACAAGGAGTGTACAGTAGGGCCTACAGCATTCCTGCTCACTAAATGGCTCTAGTGTAAACCTCTCGTTATTCGTCCAATAGGAGATTAGCTAGTCTCACACCATTGGACGTTCAATATTTTAAAGCTCCTATGATTGGACAAAAACTCTTCCTACATTTGTATCGTCTGTCCATCAAAAAACCGTGAGCCCCCTGTATACAGCGATCAGTAGTAGGTCTACCTACTTCAGTCTATAATTTCATTTCATTTGATTTTCGACTTTATATCAAAACAATAAAGTTGACAGAAATGAGAATGTTGACTGACCACTACTGACAAGATGTTTGTCTATAAAGGTAGTTTTGTCATTTTAGAATGAGCTAAAAAATTGGCTAACGGGATTTAAATGAATCCCTATTCATATTTACCTTACACGTGTATTATCAAAATTTTATTAATGAATGATGTAAACTATTTCATTATTCTTTTTTTCAGAGGAAGTAGGTAAATACTTAAGAAAATTACGCAAATGTATTAACTTATTCTTTAATTACTGACCACTTAAACATAATAAGGTTATAATGATTATATTATTTAATATTAAATTATGTATATGTACTTAGAAGGGCGCCTAAAAACTGCGCACATTATTAGTATATACCTCATTATTTTTTAAATATAATATACTACTACTATTATGACTGCCTCGTTGGCCGAGTGACCGCAAGTGCGACTGCCGGGCAAGGGGTCTCGGGTTCGATTCCCGGGTCGAGCAAAGTATTACTGTGTTTTAAAAAAAATCTAGTAGTAGCACGGAGTCTGGAATTGTGTCCGGTATATGGGACTCATAACGTAAATAGTGAAAAGTAGGTGTTACATTGTACAGTGGCATAATGTACACCTCTGCCTACCCCTTCGGGGATTAAAGGCGTGATGTTATGTTATAATATACTACTAGTGTGTTTATAAAAAAATCGATTTTAACCCCTCTTTAATTATAATACTAAAACCTTCTCCTACGTGTAACAAACACTTTTCTGAAAATTGCATCAAAATCGGTTCAACCAATCGCAAACATACTATCGACGATTTTAATCGGTACCCAAATTTAGGATGAATGTTCTGTGCAGTGACTGACGCCCACTCTTGGCTACCTGGTTTCGTCCACCAATAGAATTGTAGTAACTCAGCTTGGTACTTTTTTGTTGTATAACAAAAAAAAAATGGGTAATGTTTTTTCTTGCGGCGTTTTTGTGTCATGTTTCTAATTATTATTTTAAAATACTAAGAAACTATAACAACTATTAAAGAGGTATTGGGTTATGAAATCATCTATCATGCTAGTACTTAGTTTAATAAACGAAAAGCCTTGTCTTTGTGTTATACAATGGAACGATTGTTCTGACGCACCTATTAAACGAATTTGTTTTATTGTAAATAATATCATATATCCATACGTGCAAAGCTAAACCCGTTACTCTCGCTCTTGCGCACTGAGATAATTTCGTTACATCGCGCACTTTATTGTAGGCATTAGGTATCATACATTTTGTACTATTTTATTATAGTGACGAGGTTTTATATTATGATGACACCTCACAGCTTAATTGCCTTTTTAGCGATGTCAGTTAAACAAAGAGAAACAGACCGATTGTTTTTGGCTACGGCCCTGGAATATGAGTATACCTTTTTGTTTATACGTTATATTAAACAAGCTGGCGGCGATATTTTGAAGATGGTTGACACTAATCTTGGAATTATCTATTTCAAATTCGGATTCGGACAGCTAGCGACGTGCGAGCCTTTGCCAAAAGAAGTTGCGTTGTGTTTTGCGTTTACTTTTACCTTTTGTTTTTATAGTGCAAGTGTATTCTCTAGTGAGGAATTATAATAATAAGAATTATTTAGGAATTATTATAAAGATAAGACAACACGTACTGCTTACGTCCGAATAGTAATAATCATAATGGATCGCGAACGGGAAATCCACTCCAGCGAAGGTGTACTCAGGAACTCACCAGGTGCGTAACATATTTCTGAATAATGTCAAAAATACAAAAGTTAACTTACCCGAAAGATTATATTTATAAAATGTAATATTAATAAAATATTAGGCACGTAATTACAATTATATAACGTGGTATTTTATTGATTACAGAGAAAGAGTCATGGACGTTTGGCAAGAAAATGAGGATTTTGGTGGTGATGAATTTTTTGATGGGCGTTATTTTTATGCTATTAAGTTGTTCTATAGCGTTCCACTATTGGTACGAAATGGTATGGATGAAGAGACAACTAATCGTGATAAGTGATAACATTGTCTCACTCAATGTGAACCACGAGAGATGGCTACAGAATGCATCGGTGGCCGGCCCAAGGCCACCAGCCGAGGGAGACACGTGGGCGCCGAAAGCCTTTGACGTCAATGAAACTGCTAAGACATTATATTTCAAAGATGTGAAAAACGACGTGGTAGACACTAAGAAAAAAGATTCAAGCAAAGGCAATGTTTCTGTTTGTGACTGGAACACCCTACAAAAACACACAGTTTGACCTCTGTATGTACATACAGAGGTCAAACTCAGAACCTTCTTTTTTGAAGTCGGTTAAAACCAGTCGTTTTTATGTATCCCTATGTAGGTATACATAAATCTTTAAAACTACGGCAGGATTTTTGTTTTTGTTTTATAGAGGTAATATCGTCAGTCTTGTACTGGGTACTTTACATGAGTATTTCGGGTCATTAACTTGGGCAACGGTGAGTCAAACAAACGTGTTTTCAAACACGTGTGGCCTTGGAATGATATCGCCTGATACGCCATTATTAGGTACTTATCTAGTGTTTAAAACATTTATCTATTACTCCTCGCGGTTTCACCCGCTTTGCTCAGCGCCTATTGATCTTAGTGTGATGTCTTATAGTCTATAGTATAGGCTTCCTCGATAAATGGGCTATTCAAACAAATATAATTTTTCAAATAGCACCTGTACTTCCTGAGATTAACGTGTTCAAAAAAATAAACCTTTCAGCTTTATAAAATGTAATAAAATTTGCGATTATATTTCAAAGTTATCTATGTTAAATGTGTTGGGAAAATGTTTTTTTTTAAGTATGCCCGCAGTATGGTACACATTGAAGGTGTTATTTATTGTACATAACATAACATCACGCATTTTATCCCGAAGGGGTAGGCAGAGGTGCACATTATGCCTCTACAATGTAACACACACTTTTCACTATCTATGTTATGAGTCCCATGTAATAGGGGGTTAGCCTATTGCCATATACCGTGCACATTTCCAGACTCCGTGGTACTACTGAGGTTTTTTACAAACCCAGTAATACTTTGCCCGACCCGGGAATCGAACCCGAGACCCCTTGCCCGGCAGCCGCACTTGCGACTACACATGTTGATGATTTCAGATATGAACGAAGAAAATTAAAATTCCGTGAAGGACTAATTTGAAGCATCCACCTTTAGTAAGTTGTGAGATCGTCAACATTACGTAAAAACTAGTAGACACGATATAATTGGACTTTGACCGCTGAAGAGTTTGACCCGACAATCGCCACTGATCAAGTACCTATACTCAGCTTAGTAACTAAATATACTTAATCTTTGATATCACATCCTTCTACATTTAAATAAAAATTATATGTGTTGTCCGGGGTGTAGAAAAATAAAATGTTTAAGCGGGTCAATCTCTTAAACTACTTAATAGATTTTGAAGGAATTTGTATTTTTTTATAGATATTGTTTAGTAACTTATTTACGTTAACATTTAACTCGTCGAGTACCGGTTTTATAGACACAATTAAAGAACAATAGGTCGCGGTCACCGGTGACCGCTTGGTGTTTGACAGTTTAATTTCACTGCGTCAATCTTTGAAGTTGTATTTAAAAAAATGATGGTTTTATTTTTAATCTTACATCACATCGAAACCGCGTGAAACCGTCAAGTTGTCATAAAAAATGCATACAAAAAAATATCTTTAATATCTATGTCATTTGTAGGTCAAAAAGGAGCTAATCGCGTGGAATATTTTATTTATCAAATTACATAATCTTAGGTATATTTAAGATTGTGCGCACGTGTCGCTTGCGTGTCACTTTCTGTAATTCTTTATATCTTCGTACGTCGTTTCTTTTTTATTTTCAAAAGAAATGTAAGCTACAGGGCCAGGACCAGGTCTTAACCGAAATCTATTAATATCAATCATTTTGACATTAGTTGTCAAAATTATTGTCAAAAATGACATTGACCGTAAGCCAAAGCTTTTGAATTGAATCATTACTATTAATTTCAGCCAATAAGGATCATCACACTCTCTTTCACACTTTTTTACTCAACGAGGAAGTTTTTATGCATAACACAGTAGCCAGTCACCCATCCTGCCTTAACCTTTAAAAGAAACAAGGTACTCACTCCATATATGCTCGTAGTGTCTTCTGCATAATCTGGTTCTTAGGGAAGACGGCTGCAGGTACACCGATAGTGATCTCACTGATGTCCGCCGCCGAGTCCCAAACCTGGGCCACCACTCTGTCCATTACCGGTTGGTATCTGACGATGAAATGATAATGTTTTTATTTCAATAACTATATAAAAAATTCTGGACTAGTTTCAAGTTAAGCGGGTACTCATATTCATGATGTTAGCTCTGATGAACTTAAAATTTTTAAACTTCGACCTTCAACCCGCTTATCAAGCTTGGAGATTATGGAAAACCACTTGTATTTAGAGGAGGCCTTTTATTTATTACTAGATTTTACCCGCGGCTTTGCTCGCGTCACAAAAGGATAAAAGTAGCCTATGTGCAATTGTGCATATACCAATACACACAGCGCCATCTGTACCAATAATTTCGTTTTCCCTCGAGAATATCAAATTTTTCCGGGATAAAAAGTACCCTATTATGTAATCCAGACTTCTAACTTTAACGTCTGCAAAAATTCAAAGCAATCGGTTTAGTAGTTACGGCGTGAAAACGGAACAAACAAACAAACTCACTTTCCGATTTATAATATTAGTAAGGATAGTAAGGATAGGATAGTCCAGCAGTGGACTTTCATATAATTATTTGGTTAATACAAGGAAACTCACTGTTCCTTATTCTTCATGACGTGGGCACAGACTTCGCCCCACATGTAGCCTCCAACAGAGAACCCATGCACAACCAATGGGTGCTCATTGTCGTTCATAGCCATGAACTTAATCAAATCTCCAGCCACCAACTGCAAGGTAAAATAATCTTTAAAACTAAGCTATTTAAGGTGGATTATCTAAGGCATTACCTACTTTGAAAATTATCATCAAAATTACAATTGATTTGATGAAAAGAATTGGTTATTCTTAATATTCAACCTTGCTACTATAGATACAAAGAAGAAAAAGCATTGCTATATTAAATATTACACTCTTGTTCAATTTTCAACGAAATCTACTTATTTTTAAAGTTGAATATTCCATATACCTGAGTTCCTTTGACTGGCCACATGAGCTGCCATGGCGTGCAGGCTACGGAGACCACGTCGAAGCCTTGCTCCAGGTACAGCGTGGCGTATTTCATCACGTGCTTTTGTCTGGCCAAGAGCCAGTTAATCATTATACACAGAGGTTTCTCGATGGGTTTGTCCAGCCTGGTGACAATGAGAAGATATTCTTAGTACATTATACAACTACATACATTACACAGCTGCTGTTCATGTTTGTGGGTCAAGAGATCTTTGCATCATTTGCTTTCTCCACGTTCATTTAGATGTATATCTACGTATCATATAAGTGGAAAATATAGACCCACATTATTGACGAAGCCCAGATCCCAAAAGACTTAACAAATAAAATCAGTCGCACATTCAGTCGCAATTTCGCGTAAACCTTAAAAACGTTGAAATCATTTTACATTATTTGTCATTACATGTCTACAAACGTAAATATTTTCTCGAACAAATACGATCAAATTGCAGTATCCAGCCAACTGGTCAACAACGCGTGCGTTTGCCATTTAGTCTGCCATTAACTAAACAAGCGAATTGCCTCAATAGGTGATATCCATTTTGAGGATCTCCGCCAATTTGAACAGTCCAAAGAGTTTGTTTATTTGATGCTATCCATTATTTCCCATTAGCTACATATTTTAAAAGTGGTAGGATAATGTAATGTTTTGAAATTAACATTCCACGCGTAATTTTCAGAGTCCCAAGCCCCCCCCCCCCTTTAATCCCCAAAAGGTTAGCCACTTGTTACTCTACAGGTGGTGCGGGCTTCCGTGGGCGGTGCCGATTGGTTAACATCAGAAGGGAAAGGTGTTGGTGATTTACTGCTATTTTTTGCACAATGGTTGATCCCGAAATAAAGTTACACCATGTCCAGATATCAACTTAATACAATGAAGCAGAGACCGTAGCTAGCAACAAAATAGTGACACTAATTGGAGAATAGGACGTAATGATGACGAGATTGGACGAAACATGGCAACAGATCACCAGACCAGTCGTCAAATCGACCCACTTCCCCGATTGGCTCCCGATTCAACACGATACAAATAGAAGGTAATTATATCACACGAGTGTACCAATAGAATTGCGTAATGTTTGACTAATGGCATCACGTGATGTCTGCATTGCGAACTGAGAATATCTTTCAATTAAACCTGGTTGGCCCGTAATGCACGGAATTTTTGCAATTTGAATTCGGAACTTTTGAAATATAACTTTCTGGACATTTTATTAACACCCTAGCAACCTTCTTCTGTTAATGAAAGACATGTCTCAATCTTTCATCTTTCCAAGAAACAATTTTCTTCGATTCTCAAACGTGTTTGTCCCAAAAACCTCGAAATTGTCGAAATTCTTAACTGTTTATAATCTAACGTCTGTTAACTTTATAAAATAACGCCTGTTAGGTATAATTCAAACATTAGTTAACAAATAAAATCTATCTGTCGGATACACAAACTCAATTTAAAGTGTGCTAAGTTTTCCGAGTTCATAGAAACAATCGTTCCATTGCCATTCAATCCACAAGTCTTCCCATCCTCGGCCCTCTAAACTCCATTGTCAGCAACACACTTGTAACGACATCTCTGGTGCTGTGGATATTTAAGGGTAGCGGTAATTGCTTACAATCAGGTGATAAAAAACATGTAACAAATTAAGGATATTTATCGAAGTTCTAGCCATTCCTAAAAGAGTGTACTTACTTCATAGTAGCCGGATCTGCTTTGAGCTTGATCTTATCGTTGCTGATGTACTGTATATTCTTGGTGATGTCCTGTGTATGCGCGTTGCGGTCCAGCGCAACCATTGCCACGGGGGCGCATGATAACAGCGGCCGGAATGACTGGGGACAAAGAACAAGATATATTGTACTATATTCTGAAGTATATAGGTCACATTTTTGATTAATCATTGTAAAGAGATGGACTTGTAAAATCCAAGTTTTCTTTAGTTTCAACATGCACGGAACCATTAATTATAAGGCCGGTAAAGAAGGAGAAAATATTAAGTGAGTGAGAGGAAATAATTGTATTTAATGAAACAAATAAAATGAACAATCGTGTTCGGAGCTAGTTATTTTTCCACTTAAATCTATAGAATTTAAGACTCGTTTAAAAATCGTCTTTGTATTCAAATTGGTAAGAAAATAGGTACCTACTTGATCCACGTCAGTAAATAAACATGACAACAGTCATACTTAGGATGACATATTTATAGGTAGCCTGGATGATTATAAAATTAGTGAATCAACAGTTGAGGAAAATCTTATTTAGTCATCAATAACTTATTACCAAAAGATACGATTTTTTTGTAATTGCTACTAGATGTGACTCACAGATTAGTTTCCTATCACGTGTTTGTATTATGCCTAGCATTGACTTATATTTATAAAATTATCTTTTTAAGATTGTACACACGTTTTTGATAACAATGGCCTTTCCCGAAACTGCCAAAACAAATAATAATCTAAATTAGATTTTACTTTAAGTTCACGTGTTTATTTGACGACATTTTTGTAAATATAAGCTAAAAGTTGTGGTTGCATGCCACTGCAGGAGACGGAATTTTATTTAATTTAAATACTAATAAAATCAAAGACGCGAATGTGCACAGGTAGGTCAATTCAAATTTCATGACATAAAAAAGACTTTTTTGGAAACAACAAAGTTCCCTGAACTTTATTTACCCACAAACTAAGTTCCCAGACATAAAATCATGAATGGAAACTGTTCATTCAATATTGTACAGTGCCACAGTGCCCTAGACTTTATATAACCGAGCTTCTAACTTCAAACAAAAAAGGAACTCCAAAATTTTTGTACGCGTATAACTCGTGAATGGCTGTACAAAATAAGATTTTTTTTTTGAAGGAGGATATCATCAAATGGTTTCTCCCGCCTCGGGTGAGGCGAGGGGGAGTGTTACTCTTACTGATTAAGAACCACCCCGTTCATATTTCTACTCCGGGCCCCGGTAACCCATTAAATCCTCTGCGGCTAAATAAGATTGTTTGTAATTGTTATACGAAAAAATTGTCACCGAATAAGGCCAGAAGGGTCGCTATTTTCTATTGAACTTTTTCATTGTGCGTGCGAGAACAAAATATCCATCAGCGCCATTAACAAACTGGTCTAGAATACAACCTGCTTGTTATACACAATTCTAATTACACAGGTACTGTAGGTAATTGGTTTCGTAACTTGCAATACAGCAATGGAGCTCAAGTTCAATGTCAGTCGAGTCAACGGCTCGGCCAAGTGCGAGACGGGTGGCAAAAAAGGTATGATTGTCGGTAAAAATTATGTAACCGCCTTTGTTATGTATCATTTTAAGTTTTAATTAGGTTGAACGAGAGAAAATGTAGGTTTTAACTGTGAGTAAGTACATAATAATATCCATGTATTACATTTATGGTCTTGAGTGGATTGATTTTGATCTTGACAGGCCAAGACTGATGGAGAGAAAAAAACGTACTACATTTGGTAGTTTTCCAAAATATGTAACAAAATTTTTTTTAGGTTTAAATATTTTAGTAAGTATTTGGTTATTTGTATTTTAAGAAGTATATAGTATATTCATACCTACTTAATTTAATAAATGAGAAATAAAAAAAAGGAAATTAGACTGTATTTTTCTACGGCCATTTTTTGTATTCAAATTTTTTTTTTTCAGTTCCCTGGTAATGGTGAGTTTCATTCATTCATGGACATGGTTATTGACTTGATTACGGTTCTTTATAATAAAAGGTTAATGCCAAAATGGGCATGTGCATTCCGTCCGTGCAAGCGGCGCAGTATTGCAAAGGTGGGCAGTGTAACACATATAACATGTTCAACAAACCAAATTATTTTTTTAGGGTTACCAGTGTTTTGCGGATGGGCAAATAAGGGACGTGTATAGTCTACCTAATAAGTGATAGCCAAGAGCGTTTACGATATTAATTATTTTGCAATAAAATAAAAATTACTCTGGATCACTGATTCTGACTGATTTTACTCATTTAAAAAAAACATTATATAATATGAATAGTATAATTATGTTTCATGTATTCCCCAAGATCCGTAAATAGATTTACTATCAATGTTATTTGGCGACGCTATCTTCGAATTGAAATACAAAATTTACTTTTGTGATACGATGCGATACTTAAAATTAGATATAACTGGCTAAGTTATTGTGATATCAATTTATATTCTCTTATCTATGACATAAAATGTCTGATGATGCATGACGAATATAGGATTGTTTATTTTGTAACTAATTCTTTTGTAGATAAAAAGAGAGAGAGAGAGAGAGAGAGAGAGAGAGAGAGAGAGAGAGAGAGAGAGAGAAGAGAGAGAGAGAGACTGCCGGGCAAGGGGATTCGGGTTCGAGTCCCGGGTTGGGCAAAGTATTACTGGTTTTAAAAAAATTCTCAGTAGTAACAACGGAGTCTGGAATTGTTCCCGGTATATGGCAATAGGCTCACCCCCTATTACATGGGACTCGTAACATAAATAGTGAAACGTGGGTGTTACATTGTACAGTGGCATAATGTGCACCTCTGCCTACCCCTTCGAGGATAAAAGGCGTGATGTTATGTTATGATGTTATATTATGAAACAATCTGTAACCTCTGGTATGTCGGAGTGTGGATCTACGCGAGACATAATGCGTTTTCTATTGTGTCTCATATATCGACAGACAAGAGGTTAATGAACTTGTATGATTTACAACTTAAATCTGTTAAAATTACCAGTAAATCTAGTGATCTAGTTTTGCTATTGGAATAATCTCTGTTAGTACCTATATGTTTTAGAGCAGCAATGGATTGAGTTGTACAGACTTGAGACTTTCCAAACCGGCCGCGCGTGACATGTTGTTAAATCATCACGTCTTGATAGTTTTATATGTCAACTTATCAAGGAAATACAGTAACAATACTAGACTGGAGTAACTATATTTCGGAGGGAGAGAAGAATTCGTATTCCCGTTATCAACCAATGTCACCATCCAGTACTTTTTTCAACCTTCTTTATGTATGTATTATTTAGATTTCAGACTCATAAAAAATATTTATTGCACCAAAAAGTTTCAACCAGAACCAGGATAATATAATAGTTCCATTAGCATTAGCAACCACGAAGTACTGTCTCCTCTACATTGAGTTGGTATATTTCGTCAACATTCACCAAGTCTATGAACTGTGCCTTTAGCCAAACGCCACTTTAGCGCTTGTCTACAGAGAGAGTATCAAAATTTACGTCAATTCCATATAATTTAGTTTTACTACCGCAAAGTTAAGTTCGACGGTCCATTAATCTGCCGTCACCACTTGACACTGGCAGTATAGTCGACCACATCACATTGGAGACTCGGTTGCCAAAGAGAAAAAAAATATAGTTTTCTCAAGTAGACAAACGCTAAATGGCATTTGGCTACAGCTGCAGGACAGCTGACTATCCCATAGATAGCACAGTTAACATCGAAACAAAGAAAGAGAAGAAATAGAATTGATATCATGAATATACTTATAACAAAAAACTAACCGTGCCTTATCGCAGGCGTTCATAAATCATTCATTACCTAAATAGGTATCGACAATTCATTGTTGAAGCTCATAAGTATCATCTATGCAATGCGTGCAACCCACGTGTTTTGTGTACTATACGACACGTCCTACTGACGTCAGCGAAAATCTACCTTTATTAGAAGATAATGCACTGCACAAATTTGTTTCTACGTCTTTTCACAATTAGGTTTGAAATGGAATGAAGGTGGTATGTTTTCTGATTGTTTAGGAATATTCGAATAGAGAAGAGGAGTAGATAAATAGTCTGATAAAGATAAAGACTCTCATGTTTCTTATTGAATTAGTATGATCTGGTCAATATGGACATTTAAGAATGCGTATTAAACAGTGGCACGAACTAGCAAACAGTGGTTTAGAATTATGTCTCTACCAATACTTCTGCGGGATATAAGCAAGATTCTTTAATTAATGTAACTTATAATAACATGACCTAGCGGTACATTGCAGGAACCAGTTAGGTACAATACTAGTTTTATAGGATAAAGAGGTACTAAAACAACACACAGTATTGGTTCGCAATTACAATAATTTACAGGCAACAACGAGCAAATCATCTGGAGTGCGCGTGCCTGTTGATTGGCTACAAATGATGATAACTAAGTAACATTGGCAGTTTCCACGCGACCGTAGAGAACAACCGTTGATTGTTTTGAATCACCAAGACAAGACCATGAATATGGATGATTGATACTATCAAATAAATTACGTAGGTACGATTTTATTCACGTGAGGACAAAGGTCGTCTTTATGTAACACGTGGCTAACTTTCAATATTTTTCTGTAGGCAGTCAAAGCTTCACAGGAGATCGTAATTCTTTCCACAAAAGAAGTGCTTGTGGAAACTATTGTGTTTTTATGGAATAAGCTGGTAAACGAGCAGACGGATCGCCTGGTGGTAAGCAATCCGTCTGCTCATTTACCATTATTCATTCATGGACGCCCAAAACACCAGAGGTAGTTGGGGATTAGAAATTTGAGTATTATTGGGGATTCGGGGATTGGGGAGGAAGTAGTTGGGCCTCTGATAACCTCACTCACACGACGAAACACAGCGTTGTTTCACGTCGGTTTTCTGTTCACTCGTAAGTGAATATTTACTTTGCAGTAACTAAAGCCGCCTATCAAACAGAACATAGGTTACCAGCTGTTATTTTTAGTACGTAAGGTTCAACATTTGCAATGAAATGTTTGGCAACTGCGTTGTTTGTGCACGGTGTGAAAACAGTTCCTGTTTACTCCTGCTAGCCTAGTACTCGACTTGAGACAATAATATTGTCATAGCATTATGACAATCGTATTTACATTTCAAATTACTAATCTGTATAGGTTGGTATATAATAAACAAGAAGAAATTAGGATATAGAGGTACATAGAATTAAGTAAAGAAAGAGAAATTATACTAACATAGACATTAAAATTACATGAACTAACACTTAAATAGATTATAAGAAATGTAAACTTTAAGTACTGGAAATAAAAGGCTTTTTTATTTTTATTTTATTTATTTTATATGTTGGTCCACCATAAGGTTCAGAGTTTGACTCACAAGGCGCCCAAATATCCAAGGATTGATTGAATTGGTTATCCATATATGTGTATCTTATAATCATAAGTTTATTATGCAAGCAGACGGATTATCTAGGGCAAGCAATCGTCGCCCTTCATGGATACCGGCCGATTTTGCCGTTTCGGGATTTGGAATTCAGAGATTGGTTAAGAGGGTGCCGGAGGATTGTGCCTTGGGATTGGGGAGAGAATGTTTATTATGGTAAGTTGAAATGTGGGCTAAAACCGTAACATTAACTTAACCTCTTTGGAAAATCTGGTGTGATGCTCTTAGACTAGATGGTGTTATCTCTCCTTGACCATGAATGACCATCAAAGTTCAAAAGTTAAATAGAATTATAAATAATTCGCAGTGCAACTATGTAATGAGTGAATGACGTCTATGCATGTTTCGTTCGATATAAATAACTAAAATGGCGCCAAACAAACAGAAGCATAGCATGTATATGTGCATATTTTCGAGATAGTAACATCCTAAATACTTTTCCAAGGGTGGAAAACTTTCAGTGGAACATCCTCTATTTGGGGAAAACTATCTATACTTATTTCAAGGAAAAATTAAGCAAAAAGTACATTGATCTAGATGCAGAATTTTCATATGTCTTATCAAGGACCTATCTTTATAAAAATGTAGCTAATAATTAATTTATATTACTTATATTACTTTAAAACGTAGTGTATAGAAAATAACCTTGAATAATTCAAGTGCAGACACATTTTTCTAGTACAACACACAGTAACCTATTTCATAAACAACGTAAAACGCAATACGCACTCAATGGTGCGCCGGCGCATTGCATAGCCACGTGATAGTGACGCCCATACATTAGTTGCCAAGTGCACATTATACGGAACTTATTACATGCGACGTATCGTTCATACATCCGTGTTAATGTAGGTCCTGTATGCAGAGGAGATGATTTGTCATTAAACTCATAACTCTCCTTTTTCTTTGGCAAAGTTGAATAAATTTAAGCGTGGGAGAGCCATGCTCCGGCTTCTCTAAAAACCGACGTGAAACAACGCTTGTGCTTTGTGTTTCATCGTGTGAGTGAGGTTACAGGAGGCCCAATTACACCTTCTCCAAGCTCCCAAATCTTTAATCCTCAAAAGGTCGGTAACGCATTTTTAACACCTCTGCTGTTTCGGATGTCCATGGGCGACGCCGATTGTTTACCATCAGGTGATCCGTGTGCCCGTTTACCGGTCTATGCAATAAAAATATGTAGTACGTGGTTGAGGTTAAAAATGAAGGTTTTGTGCGAAGAAATTTAGATGATATAGTAGGATTTTTCCTAAAATGTATTAGGCATAGTTTATTATGTTCTTAACCCTTTGAGTACTTTCATTATAGACACAATTAAAGAACAATAGGTTGCGGTCACCGGTGTTCTCGCGGTGTTTGACAGTTTAAAACATGGAATGTACTTTACTCCAGTTACCTACGACCTACGATATCAATAAATACTTTCGGCGATCTGTTAATCGAATAGAGGTTCCATACAATCAGTAGTTGGATACAAAAGTCTATTATTTATTTTAATCGTCCAAAGTCCATAGTTGGATGCATTTACGTAATACAGTCGTTCGTAACTTCGTACTTATCACTTAATAAATAAATATGTATGTACTGTACGTATGCACAATTTTACAATGTACATGGATTATATTGATTGCATATTTATCCGATAACATTTCTTCTTTTTGGATGCATTTTATAACATATCAATAATAATGACTTTCGATTTGATAAAAATGCAACTGAAAAAATATATTGTTTACCTATAACATGCCCTATATAACTAAATGGCGCAATTATTAATGGCGCAGAGACCGAGAGGTTTTATATTTTTTTTTATTGAAGCTTTACACATGTTAATAAATGTAACTAAGTAAGTTTAATTATGCAGTCGTTATGTAATAGTAATGTTATGGCCTCCTGCTAGAGAGACTTGGAGTCGCTCAGCGCATGATGTAGAGAGCTACGCTCAGGGTTTCTTTGTGCGAAAATTAAAAATGAGGAGAGTCACCAAAGAACCAAACCCCCGTACTCAGAGGAATTACATACACAACATCACGCCTTTTATCCCCGAACTGATGGGCAGAGGTGCACATTATGACACTTAATGCCACTACAATGTAACACCCATTTTTCACTCTTTATATTACGAGTCCCATGTAATAGGGGGTGAGCCTATTGCCATATACCGGGCACATTCCAGACTTCGTGCTACTACTGAGATTTTTTTAAACCCAGTAATACTTTGGCCTACTCGGGAATTAAACCCGAGACCCCTTGCCCGGCAGTCTACTCGCGACCACACGGCCAACGAGGCCACCTCGAGCAGTATTTGGAACAAAATCGTTACCAAGGAATAGTTTAAGAGTGATCATTAAATGTAATATCTTGAGTACGGTAGTTAGACATACCTAGCTTGCAAAATCGCTCGAAGGACTGCTGCCCGATCGACTAGGAACGTATTCGTTTAACTTCGATTAACAGGATCCTGGATGATGATGAAGTTGATGATCCTTACTTTATATTATAAATCGGAAAGTGAGTTTGTTTGTTTGTTCCGCTTTAACGCCGTAACTACTAAACCGATTGCTTTGAAATTTTGCAGACGTAAAGTTAGAAGTCCGGATTAAATAATAGGGTACTTTTTATCCCTGAAAAAGTTGATATTCCCGAGGGAAAACAAAAGTATTGGTATAGATGGCGCTGTGTGTATTGATATATGTCACATTGGCTTTTTATCCTTTTGTGACGCGAGCGAAGCCGCGGGTAAAAGCTAGTGAAGTAATAAACATAACTTACCGTTTTTCCATTACTTCTCAGTCCAAGTTTGCCGTGGTTTACGGCTAAAGATACCGCATTCTTTAAGGCACTCATTTTTAGAATTACCTGTAAAGACAAAAATACATTAATCGCAGAACAGTTCAGTAATTTGGTAGTTCTACCTGGAATATATTCCAGGAGTTTTGAAAATCGGCAATTTTGTAGATTTTGATGGTTTTGTTTCACATCTGTTTAAATTTGTAGTTAACGGTTTTTTCGTGAAATGCACAGGAAAAGTATTACAGTTTATGGCCGCGATTTTTCCAAGATGGCGGCACGAGCGGAGCACATCAAAATCTACAAAATTACCTATTTTTAAAACTCCCGGAAAACTTTCGAAGCCCCTATCACATAAGTGTAAAATAGTAAATAAGTAACATTTTTTTATTGTTTAACTGTATAATGTTTTGGCTTGTGCTGTAAAATTATACATGTGCTTATAAATAAATAAATAATATTACCCCCCTTAATAATCGGATTAGAAGACTAAAAAAGAAACAAATTATAGTTTTCGGCTAGACACTACGGATATAAATGACTCACATAAAATTATTTAAAATACTGTTGCGGTGACTGAGCGACAAGATGTCCCTTTAAATGGCAATTGATGACTGAACATTGTAATTTTATTGTTTGAATGAAATATAGGCAATTTTAGTTAATCTGAGACACTTATTTACTTAGTACTTTTAAAGTAACCTATTGTCTGGAATGAAAGCATCCAACATGCGAAGCTCATTACGTTTGACAACACAGTTAGTGCGGTGGCTGGGCAACCGGCTGTCACGCAACGTGTCGCGGTTTCGATTCCCGCACTCTCAACTCTTTGTGTAATCCACAAATTGTTGTTCCGGGTCTGGGTGTCATGTGTATGTGACATTGTATGTTTATTTCACCCACGACACAGGAAAAAATCCTAGTGTGAGGCAACGTTTAAAAAAAAATAAAGAAAGTAAAAGAAAAGATTACTTGTGATAAAACATAGCTAATAAGTTTGGTATCCTTTCACGCATATAAAGCTTTTAATATACGCGATTGAAATAGGTTTCTTTTTATAACATCGTTAAAAATATGAACATTATTACATTTTCATTTAGTGCATACTTAAGTCTAGTTAGGTATATAGTTTGGTACTAAGTTTACTTTGGTTTCTATTTGTTCTAAAACCGACTGAGCCAATGTAAAACGTGCCTACAAGTGGCCAATTGTTTTTATTGGTGATACGTAACGTTTTGAGATCAGGGTCGCGGGTTCGATAGCCTCGCGGTGACAACTAAATGGCTAGCGCCTTGCTTCGGTACTATCCGGCATTGTGTAAGGCAGTAGAGTTAATACTAAAATTGTACAGATTTAACTAATATTATAAATGAGTTTGTCTGTGTGTCTGTTACTCAATTGCATCAAAACGGCTGTAAGGATAGCAAAAAAAAAATCCTGTGGTTACAAGATGGGATTTAAACAGCAAATCTTCCTTAGATACTTACGTTTTTTCGTAAAACTGTGTGAACTATATTCCTCTAAAGTTACGTCTACATATAAATGACTAGCTACGTTCGCGCAGTTTCAGTTGCTCTGCTCGGCGCCTATTAATTAATCGTAGCGTGATAATTTTATAGCCTATATATAGCCATCCTCGATAAATGGACTATCCAACACAGAAAGATTTTTTCAAATCGGACCAGTAGTTTCGGAGATTAGCGCGTTCAAACAACCAAACAAAAAAACAAACTCTTCAGCTTTATAATATGAGTATAATAGGTTATTAACATTTATATTGAGTTGTCATCACGTTGTCACATTATGGCTGAGAAACATTGAAAGAATTGCTTACTGATAACGTCTTCTTCATTGATCCAACTTGGGAACAAAATCCAAAAACTCAACTAACAAGTAAGTAACAAGAAAATCTTATGTATGACTCCAGATATTATAGGTACATTATATACCTTTTTATGACGAATAAGAAACCTTCACCTAGCTTTTGGGGAGAACGATTAGGAAGTGTGGGATTTTTACTTCAGTAAAATATATGCCGTAGGTCATTCTCAACACCTGTAAGGGGCACCGGGTCCTCTAAAAGAGAACTGCTCCGGAGACCCCACAGTGCAACACTTGTTACAGCACATCCTTAAGGACGCACATTATGTACGTAATAGTATTCTGCCATTAGACCATAAACAGTAATAAGTTTGTTTATAATAACTTTACATTCATAATGTTATATTTACAAATTGGAATGCGGATACAAAGTTCACAATCTATAAATATTGTGATCTTAAAGTCCTCTAGATAAGGGCTACACTTTGAACACTACTTGGTGATATAACACTGTGTAACATTACGACAGTTATTCTCTTTGAGGTAAGCAGAAATGAGGGATAATTATAATAAACTAGCAAACCCGGCAAACTCCTTTTCGCCACCAGATTGCTATTCCTGAATTTTCTTTGCTATAAACCTCACAGAGCCAGAGACCTTTCCAACGAATGCAAAACATGTGGAAATCGGTTCGTGCGTTCTGGAGTTATAGCGTCAGGAAGGAAAACCTATATGTTATTTTCATATAGCAGATTTACATATACTAATAGGTTTATCAAGCAAAAAAAGTTTGTTTGTTTGAATGCATCAATCTTCAGAACTACTGGTTCGAATTGAATAATCGTTTTTGTGTTGGATAGTTCATTTGTCGGAGAAGGCTGCAGGCTATAAACAATCACGCCACGATCTATAGGAGCAGCGGTTGAAACAGCGATCAAGAAGCTAATCAATTTTACAATTAAAAAGGAACTTTACATTATAATAAGGAACTCAACCTGCATAGTCATTTGAATTAAATTAGGTGAATGTTTTTATTTACATTTGTAATGAATAACGCTTTCAGACTGAAACAATCAGCGTTACATGGCACATTGATCTATGGCCTCTGGGCTCTGGCGCAACTACCATACTTGTAACTCACTGGTATTAAACAGAACGGATTAAACTGTTAAACACCAAGCGGTCACCGGTGACCGCAACCTATTGTTCTTTAATTGTGTCTATAATGACAGTACTCAACGAGTTAATTAAAAGCATAAACGAATAAAATATGGAGAGGTCTGTATACAATGTAATGTAACACCCACTTTTAATCAATCTTATATCTTATACTATTATATTATATTATGTATAAAACTGAAGAGTTTGTTTGTTTGTTTGAAATTTGAATCTCAAGCACTACTAGACCTGATTTATAAAATTAATTTAGTTTTCAATAGTCTATTTATCAAGGAAGGTTATAGAGTATAAAAAATCATTCTGCCAGCAATAGTAGCTGAGCAGAGACCGCGTGGAAGTAAGTATTTAGTTTGTATATTTTGAGACCTTTGTTTTGTAATACGAGGTGACAGAAGCAGATGTCATAGACCAGACTGCCTGACATAGTATGCCATCTTGTTCACTAGCTAACACACTTTTAATAAATTTTCGTTTCTTTTTAAAGAATGTGATAATTTTCAACTAATCATGTTACAGGAGAAAATATTAATAAGAAAATCAATATCAAATTCAAATACCTTTACTAATTTTACAATTTGATATTTTTAACTTATAACTACTAGAATGAACTACACTAACTTCAGGGATACAAAGTCAACTAAATGGCCTTGAAAAATATTACTCATAGCAAAGACAATACCTATTATTAAATATATTTTTATTAATATTCATAATTAGATAACTACTATTTAACTGATACTGTAATTTGCAAATCTTATTGGAAACATTCTAAGCAATTATTAAAATAATGCTTATGACAATAGACATTAGTTATACTTTTATTTTCTGTCTTCAAACTAATGAGCTTAAATTATTATTGACTTTGAGTGCAAGAAATTGTTATGTGCTATAAAATAATAGACAATAACTTTTTTTTACTAGACTCAAGTTTTCTAAATAAAAGGAAAATAAGCTATGGAACTCAATGGATGGTATTCTAATTTTTAAACAGCCAATCATGCAATGGTTTTCTAATATTCATACAAAAAATAAATACTACTTTATCAGTTTAAATTAACTGCACAGAATTTGTAACAATAAATAGGTGCATTATAAATGTTTCCAATGAATATATGTTAAAGATTATTCTTGCAATGTAACATTGTAGGGATAAGTTGATGCCAAACACAAAATAGAATGGGTATACTTTTAAATATAATTTGGCCCAAGGCTGACATAGATTACGTATTTAGATAGTATCTACGAAATACAGAGTACGTTTTTTAATAATTACCATGTTATTACACAAATACAAAGAATAATGTTATTACATAAAAATTACTTGATGGAGTTCATAAATATTTATATGTGCTCTACTTTCATGAATTCATTTTAAGATTCAAACAAATATCTTAAATAATATGTGCAACAAAAAATATGGACCAAAATCCACGTATGTTTACCTACCCGTAATCGTAAATTATGACATAAAAATAAATAAATACGGCAAGAATATTAACTAAAACGTATCTATGAACTACTGGGGCCATATTAGTTAACAAGGTACAATTTCCTTTCGTGCCGGCGAGTATATGGTGCACAAAGTAGATATTGCAGAACTTTGTACAGTTAGTCTATTATTAGTAAACACATTAACTTACTGGTTCAGTTTAAAAACTGTATCACCAAAAATCGAATAATTGCAACGGAATAAAACTTTAGACACACTACACGACGGAACAGAGGTAACACTGCACTCACTAAAATTTATTTTAATAAAAAGCAACAAACACGCACGCTCCCGATGCGTGATTTGACGACTTGACGTGCGTGACAAACACGAAGTGCGGACAGGATAAAAAAGTATTTTAGTATTTTCTATTTTACAGCTGGCATCCTAATACATAACTACAAAACCTTAGAATACCAGTTGTTTAAAGAATAATAAATTAATATGTCTTGCAAACCAACTTTTATCTCCTTTTTACAGTTTTTGATAATTATTTCCGATCTGCGTTCTGATTTATGCGTTATCAAAAAAAACCGGAAAACTTATGAAAGAGTCATTTTTGAACGAGTATTAAAACGTCACTGTCAAAATCACATGGATTGGGATTCGTTGTTGACATTTATTTACGAAACGTCAAATGAACTCGTGTGGTGCGTGCTAGGTGCATTTTGTGTTCATATTGTGGTTATTTTTGTGCTAATTTATCAATTTATATGCTTGATTAAAAATTGTAAACTTGTGCAAAAATGAATGAAAACGATGGCAAAGAGTTTGCAGGACTTGGTGTCAAGACATGGCTCATCAAGGAGCTATTTAATCTTGGTATGTTACACCTGTGCATGTAAATAAATCTCAAATTCTCGTTTAAAACGCAATGCTGTACCTTTGTATTAATTTTCAATTCTGAATATTTGATTTATGTAACTGTTAGATAATATTTTATTTAAGTTTACTGTTTCAAAAGCTAGAATTCGTAAATTTCGCTAATCTGATTTATATGCGCACATAATCAATTCGATGCTATGCTTATTCACGTTAAGTAATATCAGTTCAATTATTATGGATATTTCTCCTTTTTTACAGGCATTAGAAGTCCTACACCTATTCAAAAAGGTTGTATATCTCGTATACTGGCTGGCGACGACTGTATTGGAGCGGCTAAGACAGGTTCAGGCAAAACTTTTGCATTTGCACTCCCTATATTGCAACACTTGGCTGAAGATCCATACGGGATCTTTGCCTTAGTACTTACTCCTACACATGAGTTGGCTTATCAGGTAAATAAAAAATTATATATATTTTAATTCTTCTTGACATCTATTTTCAAACAGCCAAAATTACTCTTTTCTACAGTGGTTTTGACATTGATTTTTTGCAGTTTTAAAGGGATAGGTGTATTTTACTATAGTTATAATATGTAGTTTGCTTTATATCTGTCTGTTAATAGTCAAACATTTATTTTCTTTTTTATAATAAAATAAAAAAGTTTATTTCAATTACAACGGGCATTAGATAAAATTATTGGAGATCACCTTCGAAGCAATGAATTGCTTGTGCTAGGAGACTCTGTATTTCCACATGGTATTCTAAGTAATTGAAGTTACAATGTAGATAATGTAAACATGCAAGAAACTTACAATTCTAATCGCCGAGGCAATGAATGAGTATAATTATTTGAAATGAAATATTATGTATTAATGTTTTATTAATACATTAAGATCAAAGTTCAAACCAATTTTGTCAAACAAACAAAATAAATCATTTCTCATTTTCAGATCGCTGACCAGTTCAGTATCCTGGGTCAGCCATTAAAGCTAAGAATGTGCATAGTGACCGGAGGGTCAGACCAGTTAGAGGAATCTCTCAAACTTGCCAAGCGTCCTCACATCGTGGTTGCAATGCCGGGACGACTGGCCGATCATATTACTGGTTGTGACACCTTCAGCTTGAAGAAGATCAAGTATCTAGTACTTGATGAGGCTGACAGGTAAACTTATAGATTGTATGACAAGTGTTAAATAAATTTTGGTGTGGAAAATCTTATAAAAGAAATTGATGATAATTTTAAATAGGTACCTAATGAAGATATTGTTTAATGATGTTTGAGGATAATAGAAAGTATTGCTTGTTTTATCAAAAACATACAAATAAAAATTACTTATTTAAATTCAATTTGCTACCATAATGGTAGCATCACTCATACTTTAAGTATATAAAAGAAAATCAAAAACTTTCCAAAAAATTATTTTGTAAACTGTTGTCTATTAACATGAATTGGTGAACTGAACGAACTATTATTGCCCATAGTACGTACCTCATAACCTTATGTGTATTATTACAGATTATTCAGCGAATCGTTTCAAGATGACCTGGAGACAATATTCAATGCATTACCAGCGAAACGACAGAACTTGTTGTTCTCAGCCACAATCACTGAAGATGTCCGGGAATCCAAAATACTTCCACTTAACAAAGATGTGAGTTATTTCATTTATAGACATAACATAACATCACGCCTTTTATCCCTAAAAGGGTAGGCAGAGGTGCACATTATACCACTATACAATGTAACACCCGTGTCGTGTCGTGGTGGCCCGGAGGTTTAAGACGCCCACTTCTCATGCATGAGGGTGCGGGTTCGAAACCTACCAACGGCAAGTACCAATGTGACTTTTTCCGAGTTATATGTACTTTCTAAGATTATTTAGACACCACTGACAAACGGTGAAGGAAAAATATCGTGAGGAAACCTGGACTTATAATTTCTAATTATAAGTTTGAAATCGCCAACCCGCATTGAGCAAGCGTGGTGATTAATGCTCTAACCTTCTCCGTGTGAGAAGAGGCTTTGCTCAGCAGTGGGCATTTATAGGCTGTTGATGAATGTAACACCCACTTTTCACTATTTATGTTATGAGTCCTATGTAATAGGTGGTGAGCCTATTGCCATATACCGGGCACAATTCCAGACTCCGTGCTACTACTGAGAATATTTAAAAACCCAGTAATACTTTGCCCGACCCGGGAATCGAACCCGAGACCCCTTGCCCGGCAGTCGCACTTACGACCACTCGGCCAAAGAGGCAGTCATTTATAGAATAGGATCTATATAATTAATGTCACTATACACAGCTACACATCACTAGCTAAACCAGTATAAACTGACCTTTACATGTACAGTAAGATAATACAAAACAAGACCATGATACTGGATGTTGGTTGGTTGTTATAACTTTTTTTTTATGGCATAAGCCGGTAAACGAGCAGACGGATCACCTGATGGTAAGCAATCGGCGTCGCCCATGGACACCTGGAACACCAGAGGCGTTACAAGTGCGTCACCGGCTTTTTGGGGATTAGGAGTTTGAGGATCGTTGGGGATTCAGGGATTGGGGAGATTGGGGAAGGGGAAGGTAATTGGGCCTCCGGTAACCTCACTCACACGACGAAACACAACGCAAGCGTTGCTTTACGTCGGTTTTCTGTGAGGCCGTGGTATCACTCCGGTCGAGCCGGCCCATTCGTGCCGAAGCATGGCTCTCCCACACTTAATCTTTAATAACTTAATCCTAAACTCAATTATAATATAATTTTCTAGAAACTTCTAACATGGACGGAGACGGACAGCCAGTTGACAGTATCAACGTTGGACCAGCGATACGTAGTGTGTCCCGCGTACGCTCGCGACGTGTACCTAGTGCAAACGTTACGCAAATACCGCGAGACTAAACCAAGCAGCCACATTATTGTGTTTACTGATACTAAGAAGTAAGTTCATGTAAATTTTTCTTTTTAACTTTAATACTATAAGACCATAATCCCCAATTCCCAAAAGAACTGGCAACGCATTTGTAACGCCTCTGGTGATGTGGGAGTCCATGGGCAGGGCCAATTGCTTACCATCAGGTGATCGATTCTCGTTTGCCGGCCTATCCCAACAATATGCTATCTACCCGCCTGCCGAGGGTAAAGATAAATGCATAGCCCTCTTAGAGGACGCGCATAGTCCAGCTGTCTTGTCACAGGCTGTAGACACTACTAATCTTATCTTATACTTCTTATACTATTATATATTTAGAGCGGAAAAGTTTGTTTGTTTGTTTGTTTGAACGCGCTAATCTCCAAAACTACGGGTCCGATTTGAAAAACTCTTTCTGTGTTGGATAGCCCATTTATCGAGGAAGCCTATAGGCTATAAAACATCACGCTACGACCAATAGGAGCTGAGCAGAGCGTGTGAAACCGCGCGGAAGTAGCTAGTTCTAAATATTCCATTTTCTTTCCAGAGAGTGTCAAGTCCTATCAATGATGTTGAATGCAATATCCATGGACAATGTTTGCCTACATGGCTTCATGCGACAAAAGGAAAGGGTAGCAGCATTGACCCAGTTCCGAAGTAACCTCAAATGTACCCTGGTGGCGACCAACGTGGCTGCGAGAGGTTTAGACATACCAACGGTAGATTTAGTTGTCAATCACAAACTACCCTTGGAACCTAAGGAGTATATTCACAGGTAGGTGTATATTTGTCTTGCTCCTAATTTTTAAGAACCGATACGACCTTCAAATACGCTCTTTTCATGAACGACAACGTACCTGTGACTCTTCTAGTGATGCGGGTGTTCATGGGCGGCGCTGACCGCTTACCATCAGGTGATCCGTCTGCTCGTTTGCCTCCAAATGACAAAGGAAAAACATCGCGAGGAAACCTGGACTTTATAATTTATAATTATAAGTTTGAAATCGCCAATCCGCATTTAGCAAGCGTGGTGATTAATGCTAAAACCTTCTCCGTATGAGAAGAGGCCTTTGGTCAACAATGGGCAATTATAGGCTGTTGATGTAATGTGATGATGACGAGTTTCCTTACCTTTCAGAGTGGGCCGTACAGCGAGAGCTGGTAGAAGTGGTATGGCGATCTCTCTGATCACTCCCTATGACATACTCCGGCTCGGCGAGATAGAAGAGGCAATCAAAACTAAACTCACAGAGTATAAAATTGATGGTGAGTTTCGATTGTCAATACAAATACTAACAGTGAAACAAACTATTTATTTTACTAACATCATAACTCTTGACATAAGAGACACTTACTGACATACGGTGTTTATATGTATGAAAATATGAACACCGTTGTCCGTTATTATAGGTCAATTCAAAAGAGTGTAGGTAATAGAATAGGGTAGATGACTAATTTTTATTTTAATGTCCGTCTGGTAGATTATTTATAAACATTAGACACGTATTTTTATATTTTACGGAAACGAATAGTTTCGAAGATATATTGATTTGAAATGTCGCGTGACGTCACTTCTTAGTACATTTTATACGTAGAAATGACGTTTTAGCCCCCACTCCTAAACTTTGATTGGTTATACCTAAGTATCGTTTTATTATACAACAAAATAAAAAATACATGTCTAAAATTTTTTCATTACCTAACTGACGGACTAATTACCTTTTTCAATTTTTATACGCTGTCATCATCCCTATTTAAGAAATATTATCATAAAATATCGAGACAAATAATAATGGTTTAATTTTTATATTACACTTCTTAACATTTTGCTTTATCTACATCATTAATGTCTTCATGCATCCTTGTCGATTTAGGGTGTTTTGTCAATTGCCCTAAATAAATAAACTCATCTTTCAACCTTTACAGATGATGAGGCTGTGAAAATCTTCACGACGGTGAGCGTGACGCGTCGTGAGCAGGAGGCCCAGTTGGACAACGAGGAGTTTGAGCAAAGAAAGCGGAATTATCGCGTCAAGCGCTGGATACAGGCCGGTGTAGACCCTGACATGATGGAAGAAGGGTAAGCATGTATATATGTAACTCGTTCTGCCAACTGCTTTAACTACATTCCTAAAACAAAAAAATATAGAATACATACATACATAACCTCACGCCTGTCTCCCATGGGAGTAGGCAGAGACTAGGAAACGCCAATTATTACGATTCTTAATCATCAATCTTTTAATGCATGCTCATCGGTTAAGGGTACTTTTAATTTGGCCCTTCTTTAATATGTCGCCAATCTGGTCACTATATGTCCGTCTAGGGCGCCCTCTACCGACGGCCCCATTCATATCCGCTCTGTATACTGCAAAATTATATACTATAATGATAAATGATAATGACTATGACTGCCTCGTTGATCGAGTGGTCGCAATTGCGACTGCCGGGCAAGAGGTCTCGGGTTCAATTCCCGCTCCGGGCAAAGTATTACTGGGGTTTTAAAAAATCTCTGTAGTAGCACGGAGTCTGGAATTGTGCCCGGGATATGGCAATAGGCTCCCCTCCTATTACATGGGACTCATAACATATAGTGAAAAGCGGGTGTTACATTGTACAGTGGTATTAAGTGCCGTAGATAATGTGCACCTCTGCCTGCTTTCAGGGATAAAAGGCGTGATGTTATGTTATGATATAATTACATACTTTTTTAAAAAGAGTAACGAATAGAGTTTCTTGCTTGTTCTTCTCCATTCGAATCTACATTTTAAAATGAGCACCTAGCTTCACCTAGCTTCACTGACGGACTGACATTATTTGTTTTGTATTTGTTGAAAAGTACCAAATTATGGTTTAATTGAAATAAATGCTTCGACTTTGACTTTGAAAAAATGTTAGTACATATTCAAGTGATATAATTGTCTCATTGGTCGACTGGTCGCAATCGACTGCCGAGCAATAGGGTCTCGGGTTCGTTTCCCGAGCCGAGCACTTGGCTCGGCTCGGGAAACGAACCCGAACCATTGGTTTTTGTCTCATAAAATAAGTTGTGAACATTGTGAATATTGTATACTTGCCATTGTGTGCACCTTTTCATATACTACGCCTTTGAAATGAATCATAAAACAATTAAATTAATTTATGAATTACTTTATTCCTAACAGCCTAGAAGAAATGCGGCGCAAACGGATAAAAGCTGCTAAAAAGGCAAAGTTAGCAAAAATAAAAGAAGTACAGGCACAAATTCAGGCTGAGAAACCTTCGAAGGATGACAACCGACTCCAAAATGACGCGGCGGACATCGATACTTCAATTAAAGAAGGACTAAAGAAAGTCAACAAATCACTAATGAAGAAAGATGATAGATTCAAAGATGTTATTGGAAAGATCACGAAAATTAAACGGAAAGCAGACAATGTTAAAGCAAAGAAGGATCTAGAAGAATCCAGTGCGAAGAAGAAGAAGAAAATAAAAGGGAATAAAGGAGAGTTAAAGAATAAAATTTGATGTAAAGTAGTTTGTTTTATTTATTTATACACAATGTACAGTGGCTAACGGGAGCTGGGATAACCTCTCCTCTTCTATCAAATTTCTCTATTACATCTTTAACTTTATTGTGTGGACATAAAGTCGAAAATCCAATAAATAAATTTGACAGATTGGAGTAGGTTAATCTGCTGGCTGTCACTATTAGTCCAAGATCCCAGACCGATCAGACATACCTAACTTATTTTCAAATATGAAACCTTAGTTTCTCAGTAGCGTCTCATGTGCTTTGAACACCTGTATGTTTATGGAGCTTACCGTGGGGCACCTAGCCAGGTACCAGGCGGGACAGGTAACTAAAAATAAATGTAACTAATTTTTCGTAGCATAAGTGTCAGACACTTTCCATTGACCAAATAAATTATTAAATTGGGTGAAATATAATTATGCATAAAATACTAATTAATTTATGTTAAATCTGAAAACTTTCAAGGCAACTCCCTCTGCCCAAATTATTGGACTATGATTACCTACTTTAGTTTTTTTAAAAGTATCTACCGACCGGAAATATATCGTTAATTTTGACTTTTGTGATTACTGTAATAAAATAAAAATTGGGAAGTTTTTATTAATTTTTGCTTACGCACGATGGGGTCCTGGTAGTGTGTGGGCCTCTTACACTACGGCGACTCTTATACATGTATATACATTATACTATATTATATACTCTTATACATGTAAATACATTATACCATATTATATACTCTTATACATGTATATACATGTATACCTTCCTCAACAGTCAACAGTCATCTTTTCATATGCAAGTAAATACATTTAAATTCTAAAATATGTAATGGGAAGCATAAATAAAAAACAAAAGCTAAGTAGTTAATAATTTATTACATTTTATACATTGTAAAATTACAAATAAATACAACAATGATATATTTTATATTCAAGCAATGTTGCGACGATGGCAAATAATTTGGCACAAAATGTTTACAAGCTTTCGCGTGACAGGCCTTGGCTATTCGTATTCCTCTTATATTTATTATATAGGATATGTCATCGAGATCAACCGATGTTCCATAGAGGATGTATGCATTTGAAAAGAAATTCAACATAGACAATAAAAGACTGTTCGCAGTCGCAACATATAGCATGTTCCATTCCCCACGGAGCAACCCTGTGTGATCCACAAATTTTTGTACAGGGTCGCTGTCATGTGTATGTAAACTTGTATATTTGTAAACGTAATACATACCTACTATCTTTTTATTTTTGCTGAACAAAATTCACATTGGTTTTCTTTAAAAAGAAAATACATGCTCATCGCGGTGAACCTAACGGAGGGGAGAACCTAACGTCGCGGAGAACCTAACGGGTTACCGGGGCTCCGGCTCGACGTGCAGGAGAAGGAACGGGGTGGTTTTTGGTCAGTAAGAGGCTGACACTCCCTCCTCACTCCTCCTCCTCCCGCCTCACCCAGGCTGGAGAAGTCATTCGATGATTTTCCCCCCCTTAAAAAAACACTAGGATTTTCTCCTATATCGTGGATGCGATTAAATGATGTAACATCCATTGATCTCGATTGAATACTTGATACACATATTACTTGAATATTACTTAATTATCTAATTGAATAGACTGCAAGTATCGCATCATTATTTGTGTGTGACAGTGAGATAGTATGAAAAAGTTTTTTAAATCGGAAACCTCTACAACTTGTAAAATTGTTCAGAGTGGCTAGTGTGCCTTTGTTTTAAGGCAGGGCTGTCCAAACTGTATATCCTCGCGGGGTAATTAAATTTCTTAAAAAAGCTGAGGGGCCAGAAAAATATTTACAGTTGTATAATGACGCTTAACATTGTATTCTTTACTCTCAGACTAAACTTGTATACAAATCATACACTGAATTTTATTATTGTTGCTGCACATAAGATGAAGATGTTGAGATTAAAATGTGTGTCGCGGGCCATTTGAAAGCAAGCTGCGGGCCTTTGTTTGGACAACCCTGTTCTACGGTAATGCGATCAACACCTCGACGTTCAGCGCTCTGATTGGTCATCTCCATTTAACCAAGCAATCAGTGGGTAAAACGCGGTAACGTGTCGACCGAGTTAACGTTAATAAACTCTGTTTAACACTGAGTCTCAATTACAATTGAAATTGGTTGTTAAGGCATACCTTTATTTAATAGATTTTTAACCTTACAACTAATGAAATAAAGTTAAAAATACAATTCTGATTTAGTGACCAACTGCTATCGCCGGAAACTATACGATTTTTTTTTAAACTGTCAAACACTGCGAGGACCCCGGTGACCGCAACCTATTGTTCTTTAATTGTGTCTATAACGACGGTACTCATAGGGTTAATCTTTAAAGTTGGACTTGCAGAGGCTGACCTGTGTGTTACGTACATTGAACTACAGTTTGAACACGTATCCAGTGGACATAAGATTTGACTATAATATTTTTACTAAAACATGCGCGAGTGAAGACTAAGTGACAAATAAATCGATTAATTTTTCTTGAATATAATGTGTCTACATTTTTCGTTATAATTTGATGTGCTCACAATTTCATTGAATGATCTGTGCCTAATATTTATTTACTTACGAATAAAAATAACAATAAAACATTAAAATCACAATAGTACTTCATCTAATTACTAAACACTTAAATATAAATATTGGAATTATATTCTCAGTAACTTAATAAAATAATAAACGAATTTTCAACTAAAATGGGCAATTTTGAGCAAAAGAAAATTGAAAAATAATAATGATAACTTGACATAACATCACGCCTTATTTCCCCAAAGGAGCAGACAGAGGTGTACATTATGCCACTGTACAATGTAACACCCACTTTTCCCTATTTATGTTATGAGTCCCATGTAATAGGGGATGAGCTTATTGCCATATACTGCGCACAATTTCAGACTCCGTGCTACTACTGAGAATTTATAAAAACTCAGTAGTAATTTGCCCAATCCGGGAATCGAACCCGAGACCCCATGCCCGGCAGTCGTACTTGCGACCACTCGGCCAACAAGGCGGTCCTTGATAACTTGAAACTTTGATTAATTATAATACACGGCTTTCTCATGTAGCCGCTCGAGCTCGACTGGTTTCAATCTCTTTTCGGGACTCATAATCATGAATAGCGTGTGAGTAAAGTCGTATATTCTAGTTAATTTAGTAAATCTCACGATAGTTGTTACATAAAAACAAATATTACATTTATATAAACAATACAAGTGACCAATATTAATAAATTAAAATATAATAATAATATTGTATTACATACATAGTGTTTATTTACAAATATTTTAAGCACTTACCACTACAAAAGTAAGGCCGAGATACATTTAAAATACTAGTTCATCCTTTGAATATTTTAACAAATTTCACTTAGATACAGTTAACTCAACCAATTTTCATCTTTATCGCGTAGACATAAGAGAGATATAAACAGCAATATAATTGCAAGATTCTTCAAACACGTTGAAGCCAAAATGTGTCCTATTTTGTACGCTACAGAAGTCAAAGTCGGTTGGCGTAAATGTAATTGATATTTGTTAAAATACTCAAATGGTGCTATAATAATTTTATAATATTTTTGAGGCCCCAGCAAGCCCTTTACTTACATATACACGCTTTTAAAAACGTCAGTACGAATAATATTGGATCTTATGACCATTTTTACATTTGCTATAATCAGTATAATAATCTTGGGGAATAATAATTATATTTCAAATGCACAGTTTTCACTATCAAACAAATATGACATTTAACAATCTCACCTTAAGATCGAAAATAGCCTGAATAAGTTTGATAACAACCATTACAATATATGATTATAAACCATTTCACTATTAACATCACGCCTTTTATCCCCGAAGTGGTAGGCACATTACACCACTTAATGCCACTGTACAATGTAACACCCGCTTTTTACTATTTAAGTTACGAGTCCCATGTAATAGGGGGTGAGCCTATTGCCATATACCGGGTACAATTCCCGACTCCGTGCTACAAAATTTTTTTTAAACCCAATAATAGTTTGCCCAGCCCGGGAATCGAACCCGAGACCCCTTGCCCGGTAGTCGCACTTGCGACCACTCGGCCAACGAGTCAGTCTTCAATTTACTTTGAAAGCGAAAACTGTGTTCTGATCTTTTTAAAATATAGCGTGTATTAGTATTAGCTGGTATACAGGACTTTGTTTTAATCTAAATTTAAATATAATATTTTGGGACAATGCCGACATATTGTTTCTTTTATAAATGACATTTTTTTGTATGATTTTTTGACAATTGAGCCTTTTTAATATAGTTTCCTTATACAACACATATTTTTAATGTGCAAGTGCAACTAAGTGAAATTAATTAATTTCGATGTAACTATGATACTGAGCATTCTATTTGAATTCCAATGAGATAACGTATCGGGAGAAATGTAACGTTTTTTTAAAAGTTTCGGTGACATAATAACATAATCCCCAAGCTTATCTACCAAGCGTGGGGATTACAGCAATGCTAAACGTATAGAGGGCTTAGTACGAGTTTGTTTTACTTTACGTTCAAAGTAATCGAAACGAGACCGCGTTCGGCGTTCTGATTGGCTGGTTCATTGAAGCCGGCCAATCAGAGCGCCGTACTTTTAACGTAAAACAAAGTTGTACTGAGACCTCAGATAACGCTGACGTATTAAAATATGTAAATAAAGTTTGTATATATCACTTACATGTCATGATTACAGGGTATATTCATGTATGTATAATTATTATTATTCTGACATCTGCAGTAGTGAGTTGATTGTAGCATCCTTGTTGCCGCCGTTGGCTTCGAGCACCGATTTAATGACTTCCTTGTCCATACTCGGGAACATTTCCTCAATCTGAAAGTACACACTTTAGTTATTAAATGTTCTAAACGAAAGGCGTTTTCCTTTTTTCATAGGATAGGTTAGATCCTCACTATGATGGTAGTAAACGTTAAGGGACACTTGCTACACCAGAGGACTAACCAGTGCATTGCCGGCCTTTAGAAATTTGAGGTGTGGGGAACTGGAAATGGGAAAGGGGGAAAAATTGGGCCTTTATTATAATGTTACATATCAAATCTCTTTGGACTCTTGGTCCGTGTCCTTGTCATACAATTTATTACAATACGTCTAATCATCCTTACTTATATTATAAATCGGAAAGTGAGTTTTTTTGTTTGTTTGTTTGTTCCACCTTCACGCCGTAACTACTAGACCGATTGCTTTGAAATTTTGCAGACGTAAAGTTAGAAGTCTGGATTAAATAATAGGGTACTTTTTATCCCGGAAAAAAAGATATTTCTTAGGAAAAACAAAAATATTGGTATAGATGGCGCTGTATGTACTGGTATAGATGGCGTTGTATGTTATTTAAAACCAGTCAACGAATTACCTACTTATTGGAAAAATGTAAATAGCGCGATATAACCGAATTCCACGCGAGCGGAAAGATATTCGTTTGTTTGCCTGTCTTAAACGGCAGAACGGAGGTACTAATTAACGTGATTTTTTAATCATAGGCCACTTTTTTATACATAGGCTACTTTTTATCCTTTTGTGACGCGAGCGAAGCCGCGGGTAAAAGGTAGTTTTTTATAAAAGAAAGTAGGTACCTAGTTACACGAAATCAGCCCACCAACCAACAAGATGGGAGAGCCGACCTGACCCAGCAGAAGGCACATATTTCTATATATATACATATTTTCTCATATTGCAAGAATTGGGCTTTTTGGTAACCTTACTCACACGCTGAAATACGACGCAAGCGTTACTTTACGTCGGTTTTCTATGAGGCCGAGGCATCACTCCGATTGAACTGCCGTCAAATCACTTCTATACTTCAATATGACCTACTTTAATACGCCGCATATTTTTACTGTCTAGGGCGCGTTTAACAGACTTCTCCAAGCATTTTCATTCATAACCGTACTATATAACGAATGTTTCTATGTGTACTCCTTTACGCCAAAACGGCTTAAAAAGATCTAGATGAAACTTGAAACAGGGATAGTATATGGTGTGAAATACATATATGCTACTTTTTAACAGGAACGGGGGCGAAGCGGCGGGCGGAAGCTAGACAGATATAAATCAAACAATATAATAAGTATTAAAATAAGATATAACTCCGTACATCTTGGTAAACAAAGAGTTGGACACAGTGACAGCTGGAACTAATAGGTACTGGCTTGAAAGTAATCACCACCCACACCGGACCACGGCCATGAATAAGCAATCATCCGAACATAGTACCTTCTCTGTTTAAACTCGATAATAATAACAAATACCAAAACCGATTGAGTCGTAGTGTACCAGGTCGCCACAGGTACGATACTACGATAGTAGCGACCAAAATTGGGTAGTTTCCGGGGTATCAAAATTAAAAATCTAATTAGTCCGTCAGTTAGATAATGAAAAAATATTAGACACGTATTTTTTTATTTTCTCGTATTAAGTTGCAATACTCAGATAAAATGGCGCTAAGTTTAGGAGTGGGAGGTTGTTACGTCATAACGTGCTACAAAATGTGACACGTTGTGACGTCACACGATATTTCAAATTAATATATCGTCGAACGAAAGTATTTAATTTTGTGAGAAAAGAAAAAATACGTGTTTAAACTTTTAAATAAATGTACCAGACGGACATTAAAATAAAATTTAGGAAAGTACCCTATTATTCCAAACTCTATTTTGCTAAACTGTAAAAGTGATAAAAGTGACTGCCTCGTTGGCCGAGTGGTCGCAAGTGCGACTGCCGGGCAAGGGGTCTCGGGTTCGATTCCTGGGTCGGGCAAAATATTACTGGGTTTTCAAAAAATCTCAGTAGTAGCACGGAGTCTGGAAATGTGCCCGGTATATGGCAATAGGCTCACCCCCTATTACATGGGACTTATAACATAAATAGTGAAAAGTGGGTGTTACATTGTACAGTGGCATTAAGTGCCGAAATGTGCACCTCTGCCTACCCCTTCGGGGATAAAAAGGTGTGATGTTATGATGTTATGTAAAAGTGATATAAAGAGGTACCTGTTGCAGTTGTTCAGCAGTAATGGGTGGCGGCGGGGGTTGCTGTGGCGGCATGAGTGGCTGCGGCTGCGGGACCGAGTACATGGGCATGGCCGCGTACCCCATGCCGGTACTCGGCACCACCAACATCGGGGGGAACGTCGCCACCGCCGCCGGACCCACCTACACATACACGAGAATATTGATATAGGCCCGAATACTGAGTGCCAAGCACGAATAACTATCGCGTTCGTAATGTATAGAGCGCGCTAGGCTCTGATTGGCCAGCTCTAGTGAACCAACCAATCACCGAACGCGATAGTTATTTCGTGATTGGCACTCTCAAAGGCTACTCAATTTTAAGTTGTACTTAAATATCGTGCCATCTCTGTCATTTCATAAAGTATTTGTAGAGACAGAACTATACTTGAGCGAGCGTTTGAGTATTTAGACAATATATATTAAAAATGTCGTGGTGGCCCGGAGGTTTAAGACGCCCACTTCTCATGCATGAGGGTGCGGGTTCAAAACCTACCAACGGCAAGTACCAATGTGACTTTTTCCGAGTTATATGTCCTTTCTAAGATTATTTAGACACCACTGACAAACGGTGAAGGAAAAACATCGTAAGGAAACCTGGACTTACAATTTCTAATTATAAGTTTGAAATCGCCAACCCGCATTGAGCAAGCGTGGTGATTAATGCTGAAACCTTCTCCGTGCGAGAAGAGGCTTTGCTCAGCAGTGGGCATTTATATGATTTATAGGCTGTTGATGATGACGCCCGAATACTGAGTGCCAAGCACGAATAGCTATCGCATTCGTAACGTAATAGTATAGAGCGCATTCGGTGCTCTGATTGGCCGACTCCAATAAACCAACCAATCACCGAACGCGCTCGATACTAAGACGTTACGAACGCGATAGTTATTTCGTGCTTGGCACTCTGAAAGTACTCAATTCTAAATTGTACTTAAATATCGTGCCATCTCTGTCATTTCATAAAGTATTTGTAGAGACAGAACTATACTTGAGCGAGCGTTTGAGTATTTTAGAAAATAGATATTCAATTAATTACGTTTTATAGTAGGTAGACGTAACTATTTGACGCTCTATATTATCACCATAATGTTCATTTTTAACCGACTTTAAAAAATGACGTTCTCAGTTCGACCTGTATGCTGTATGTATGTATGAATGTATGTTTGTGATGAAACGATTTTGATGCAGTTTTCATAATAGAAAAGTTAGGTAGTCAAATTTATTACTTTTTTTGAAAATTAGTTACTTCGTCGGCTAAGAGGCAACAAGTGCTACTGCCAAATGCCGAGCGAAAGCATTTGAAGTTTGAACCTCGGGTCGGATAAAGAATTATTGGGCTTTTCGGTATATTAGGATAAAAGTTTCTTGATGTTATACTCACAGAATAGCTGAGAACTAGGTTGATGACTCCTTCCTTCCCATCTCCTTGCTTGCCGTTCAGAGAGAACCAGTTGTCGAATGTCTCACCCTGGAGCAAGCAAAATAACTTAATTTGAAACACCTTGTTGCTTTTTTAATATAAAATATAACATGCATAGAGGTTTCAAATAATAACTATAGAGAGTTATACTAAGTCAATGAAATACTCGATTAATTTGAAGCCACACCGGACCCGACCGTGTGATAGATGACGTAGTAGCCACAGTCACATCCGTAAAGCGTGTATTTCAACCGATGCACAAAGATGCTAATATGTTCTGCTTCATCTTGTCCATTCCTTGTCTTCCAGTGATTTAACGGCGATCCCCAACCTATCTGCCAAGTTTGGGGATTATCGCAAACCCTTTCACGAAAACGGCTTTGTTCAACAGTGGCTTTTTATATTATATTAGATGGGACTGACATTTGACCACTATCTCGCCTGGTGGTAAGCGATGATGTGGCCTACGAATCTACGATGGAGCACGTCGACCCATAAGCAACCTACTCACTCGGGCCTTGAAGACACCCATGTCATACCCTTCAGGAAATACAGACTCTGGCAAAGAATATTACAGTTATATCGTCAACTGCTTACCTGCAGCACAGCTGGAGGTATGGTGATGTGTGCCCAGGCAATCAGCTCGTCCATCGTAAAAGAGCATTCGTCGAAGATCTCCAAATAGACGGAGTTCACTCCAGGAGGCAGCAGGCTGTCGACAAACAAAAAATAATTACTATCTCTACGAAGGAGAGTCATGCTTCGGCATGGATGGGCCGGGCCAACCGGAGTGATACCACGGCCTCACAGAAAACCGACGTGAAACAACGCTAGCGTTGTATTTGAGGTTATGCGGAGATTTAATCATCTAAGAGGTGGATAGAAGTGCACATAGTTAAAAGTTATGGGTCCCATGTAATAGGGGGAAGCCTATTGCCATTCACCATATATGCTAAAACTGCAAATTTTCTTTTTAAAATAATACTTGTTACTCTATCCTATTCTCTATTGCCACATACAAGAGTAATATCTAAAAATTCTAAAACTTATTATTACTTACAACTTCTTTACAAATCTTTTTCTACGACAGTTTTGTACAACTGCGTTGTTAATTCGGACAAAAATAGTGATAAATATCAGTCATTATGTAAATTTAAATATCTACGTCATTAACAACTACTAAGATCAAGGAAGCTGAATTATTTAAATCATTTAAGTTAATAATAGCGCCATTAAAAGTATCTTATTGAATGAAGAATAAATTAAGACACCGTAAAGGACTAGAAAGGAGTCTATGTGGTATTTCAGTGCCAAAATTTACATAGACATACAATACATACATAATTTTTTATACCCTCAATCCTCATAAACCTACATTTACAATAATAATGTTAAGTAGGATAGAAGGGAGTAACACAGATACGAGGAAAAATAATATCAGCTGTACCAAACGAGGACAATATATTAAAAATAAACACACACACACAGCTGTTTCTGTACAACAGCCAGCCATTGTGCAGTGAATTCGCAAGGGCGGCCCAGGTCACGGAAACCAGCCACAGATAAAGAATTTATGTACTTCCATGGCATTCTATCGGCGTTACTACTCACATCGCGTAAGGGTGTGTCTTAAGGGTCGTGTGCTATGACACGGCGTATTTCTATACGCGCAGGAAACGCTCGTATTTGGGACGTGCGTTTTCGGTTCATACTAGATTGGAACCTAAGCACACGAATCGTGCACCGTGCATTTACTGCGGGCGAGTATAAGCGCCGTAGATATGCGTATAAAATACGCCGTGTGCTATGGACCTTATTAAAATAAATATACATACCTTTAGTCATCTCACGATACTTGTCGATATCTGTCTGTGCATAGTATTTTTTATTACATGCAAAACTTACCAATGAATGACCTTGTTCCACCGGGGCGTCCTGCCACCGCTGGGGTCGGTGTGGGTCTCGTATATACAGTGGCCCACGCGTAGGCGCACGTAGGGATCCATACGGGTCAACCCTATATAAAAGTAATTGTTTTATGTTTTGTTAACTGAACTAGTTTCAACCCACGCTCGGGGCTCATATCCGTGAGAAGCATTGCGTGATACAAATACAACTTTATTCTCCGGCAATAAAGTTGAAAATCTATTTTCAAGGAATATAATAGTTGCAAGTATTTGTACGTTGACATATGAATGATGATGTACATGTATGAATAATTAATTTTCTTTTCAGATATTCCATTTCTAGTTTACAACTGACGTTTTTACCAAAGCAAATTGAGCTTTATAGTGTGTTTATATAGGGTTTATATAAAAAAAGAAACTCACCATAATTTTTGGAAAGCTTAGCCTGTGCTATTGTTATGCTAAGCCTTGCTGTCAGAGGTGGGCCTGCAGGTGGGACCTACAATGACAAATGAACCTTACTATGAGGAAATAAAGTATAAAATAAGACTGCAAATGTTAACATATTTATTAATTGTAAAACTTGGACAGTTCAGTAGAGTAGATTTCACAAAATGAAACAGTTCTGTAAGAAAAACTAAACAGAAAAAGGTTATATCTCTAGACTATTTAATTTCAACGCTACATCTTAGACAACTAAGTCTTTTTTACCATGATAGTAAACACTTACTGTAGCCCCACTAAGTTGCTGCTGAAGAGCTAATGCAGCTTGATAGTCTGCATCAACGGTATCTGTCGCTCCATCAGCTCGGAGGAAACCAGCTGGCAAAGGGCCTAAGAGCACCTAAAACAAAGTACATAAATGAACCTTAATGACTAAAGAATTCAGTTACATTTCCATTGATTTTGAAAAATACTTTGTTTATGGCAACTTAATTCAACTTCATTAAGGTTGCACCTTGCACCCATTTCGATTTTGTTTTGGTAATAATTAGGATATTTTGGAATATTTAACTGCAATATTCGTGCAGTAGGTAGACAGTTTAAATGGTTGATTTATTAAAATAATTTTGATTATAAAGCAAGAAATCAATTTTAACAGATTATCAGTTGCTCCCAGCCAAAAACAAAAATAATATAGTAATTGTAATAATTTGGTGATTGTAATAATGGTAGGATAAATAAATATGAGAAGATTTTATTACTATAATACAAAATATAACTAGCCACTCTCGCGCGGTTTCACCCGCTCTGCTGGGCACCTATTGATCGTGGCGTGATGTTTTATATCCTATAACCTTCCTTGATAAATGCACTAATCAACACAAAAAGAATTATTCAAATCAGACCAGTAGTTTTGGAGATTAGCGCGTTTAAACGAACGAACGAACGCACGAGCAAACAAACAAATAAACAAACTCTTCAGCTTTATATAATAAGTATAAGATATAAGATTATGGCTTCGTTATGAATTTCTTTATGGAGGTGATGACCACTTACCATATTAGTAACTAATTGTAAAAAAATAGTGAGTTATAATCACCAACCAAAAACAAATGGTTCCAATTTACTGACACTATTTTGCACTATCGTTGATTGAATTTATTTTAATTATTAACTTTTTAAATTAAACAGACAACTACACAGAAACAAGGACTAATTTTGAATAGTATTAATTGCTATATTCTCCTAATAATGACTTAATATTCGACCTTAACGCTTTAAAGACTTAAAAAACGAAATAGTTGAACTTGCCTCAACCTGTCTGTGCCGAGTTCATTCACAAAATATTAAACTAAAAAACATTATGAATATTTATTTAATTTATTTAAAAAACAACTGTTTATTTAGAAAAATATCTATTTAATAGGTATTATTTATCTATAATATAAAAATGAATTACTGAATATGTTGCTATGTAAATCTCGAGAACAGCTGAACCGATCTACACCTTGGAATGAGCAAATAACTTCACTTTTAATTTTATTATTGACGTTCAAAAGTGCCTTTCTGGTCTAATTGAAATAAATGATTTTGACTTTGACTTTTTTTGGGTACGGAGAAGGATATTGTGTATGAGAAATAAAATGTGCACAAAACAGTTTGCGGGGTTAGTTAAATATACAGATGAATCAATGTTATCCTAAAAGTATATTTCACAAAATATTTTGATGGTGTTTTTAAACAACACATTAAATATTGTATAGATTTTTTAAGCTGGAGATAAACACAAAAGTGAATAGCAATAAAAGGTTCTTTGTTTTTCTTTCGACCAGTATAAAACAAAAACTAGTTTATTAATAATATGACATCATAGCTGTTTATGTAAAACAGGCTTAGTAACAAATATGTTAAACATTTTTTTTATTTATCAAAACACCCACATTATCAGACTTGATATTCAAGATTGTCTCATTATATTTTTTCTGTTATCCAATTCAACTAATTCATATCACAACATTGAATAAAACAAAGTCTGTCTGTTTTCCACTGTCTGTCCCTATGTATGCTTAGTTCTTGAACTCTTTTCCAACCCCATTTCTTTATCCTTATGCATGCAAGAAAATGCATTTATTTGGCCATTGGCACACGAAAACAAGGATCATTACAATAGAAATGAAACAAATACAGTGAAAATAAAAACAAAACATTAATAATAGATTTTATAAAAAGAGAAAGCAGCATGGAGCATTTTTTCTTATGATCCACCGGATGCTCATAAGGACGCTCGAGGGGTTAAAGCTACACAACGGGTTTAGATGAGATTTTGTTAATAGATAGAGTGATTCAACAATATATTATAACATCCTATACAGGAAGTTAAATAGATTAATAGTACAGTAGCCAGCAGACCAAAATATTTCAATCTGTCACCATTTCTTATTAGATATTCAACTCTATACAAAAGTAATAAAGTTGAAAATTTACTAAAAAACGAGAGAAAGAAATAAGTAGGTTAGATTTACATTTCAATTCCGTTCATTTTAACAAACAAGAATAATATGTTAATTTCATTATTGCTAATATACCATTATTCTTTTCTATGAAAGTAATAGTTATTAACTTCATGATATTTTTTCATTACTATTCAAACAAAAACCTGTTATCAAATAGTTTATCTGAAACTCAAATAACTGCTCCATTAAGATAACAGAAACTTTTTAGTTTCAGCATAAATGTGAGAATTGTTGCATAATAATTAATTGGTTATGAAAAATATGTTATACTAAATAGTTTAAATAATAAACACAGTAACTATAATACAACAATAAAGCAATCAATAAGACACTAACAATAGGTATATTATTTATAAAATTTATCTATTGATAACATTTGCTGAATCATACACAAGTTTCAAGGGCTTTAGATAATTGATTAATTTAATTACTATAAAAGGTATTGTACAACAACATTCATATGACTCACAAATGGCATCCTATGGGGGTATTTCGATTTTCAGGTTAATGACCTCTCCTTTGTCTGAAACCCTTTTACAGGATCTTATAGATGAAGTCTGGAAATTTCCTAGCGAGCGACGCAAATCAATACGATCTTTCTAATAATACTTGATACAAAAACAAGGTTGACAATAACAAAAACCGGTTATTAAGCTTGTTTACCACCCTAAAACAGTGTTCATTAGCATAAAATTCGTCTCATATTTTCATGATAACAATGATTCACTCTTTTACGAATCATTCAATTTAATAATATAATTATTTCCTTTAAATATTCATATTAGGACTTACCCTTCGTCTCCGCTCTTCGTTCCTGTCTGTTGGCATAGTAGATGTCATGATTCTATTAATTAAATTTATTTTGATATCGTTTTCTCTAAAATCAATGTGATAAAAATATGAATTCGCAAATTGCAAACAAATACGCGATAGATCGACAGGACGTCACAATATTTTTGACAGTTGAGTTAGAGGTGTACCAGCAATGGATTTTGTTCCGATGGATGTGCTGTGCCACATTAAACACATTTAGTCGATTTTATGTAAGCAATTAAAAACAAACATCTTTAATAAAATAAAACTGTGATATAAATAGGCAGTAGAACTAATGTTTCATCTAAGAGTAGGATAAAGGGGTAAAATAGATTAAATGAAAATCTTTGTATTTAAGGTCAGGATCGAATCGCACTCCTTGATCTGGTAAACTGCTGAACTAATTATCTTATTCATCCGCCACAAGTCACAACAATGAAGAAACTAAACGTAACGTCAAATCAAAGTAGAAAATCAAACTTTTGGTTTGAAGGTTTGATTTTTCTGTTTTCGTTGATTTGTAATTGTTAAAACTAAGACTAAAAGTGCTGTTATATTATTCCTGTACAATAGATAACAGAGTTTTGTGTTCGTGGACATTCGAATTGGACAATTCATGTTTTGGAAACATATGTTGAGTTGACGTGAATTGGTTATTTTATTGATTATCGTGAGCTGCTGCTATGGATATCGTCAAAACACCTAAGGTAAGTGTAGCAACAATATAATTAGTAACTAAGGATACGATATCAAAACATGGTGACACAAAAAATCTATTAATTTCATGGCACAGTAGTCTTTTTCAGGCGTTTCCTACGGTTTTCTGTATACTTATCGTGAAATGTTTAAAAATAGGGCATTAAATAATCTAATAAGAACATTATTAGGGAATATTGATATAGGCAGTCACACGTTTTTAATAATAGTGAAAATGCAGTGAAACAACAAACAGAATGCCTTTGTTACTGTTGATAAACTTATCTGTGTTATGTGTTCTTATCATGTTTAGCTCTAAACTATAGGTAATCGAATGTCATACTCAATGAAAATGCGTATTTATTCATCTCAATATGTAATTCTATTTATTCTCAAACAGATAAACATTATTTTGTGGGTGTCTTATTTTTTCATCAGTTGATTTTTTATTTATTTTATTTTGTGAATTCCTTTTTTGTTTTTTTAATTGGATTGAATTGACATTCTGAGTATTATAAACAATTAAAATGTTTTTATAATTTCAACTATGGGTGAGGGATTTACTTAGTGTATTTCCAATAGGAATTCTATTAGATATAGTCTAAGTTGAGCCTATCATTAAGATTTTAAACCTACATTTAGATAATTTTTAAGAAGAAGTATTATCACACTGAGTCAAGAAGTAATTACCTAATTACTTTTTGCTTAAATTACCTAATTCTTCAAATGAAATTTAGGTATTATAGACTTTCACTAAGTTCTATTATTTAATGTTTTTGCGTAATATATACTACTTTGTATCAAACTACACACAACAAAAACAGTGATGATAAACAAGCTTGTTCATTAAACAAATTTGGTGGAACAATCTTTTGATTATCATCATCAACAGCCTATAAATGCCCAGTGCTGAGCAAAGCCTCTTCTCACACGGAGAAGGTTTGAGCATTTTGATTATAATTAAATATAAATACTGGAAAGAATTATACTGAAAACTGCAGTGAATACAATTTATTTTCCAGTTAAAATTTTAAGTTCTAAATGGAATTACGTTTGAGAAAAGAACTGAGGCCTTTATTAAAGTAAAGTGATTAGGCTTTTACACATAAAACTTGTCACCATTAATAAAATAAGAGACTAAACCTAGTTATTTGTGGCTTATGTAATGCCCTTTACCATAGGTACCTACTTTGAAGTTTGAGGTCATAAAAGTAGTTAAAGTAGGTAGTATTGTCATGTCATGATTATAGCTAGGAATTGTTTTTATTTAGGTACTTATTTTATTGTTCAATCAATATTAGCTTTATAAATAGTAAATTATAAATACAGATAAAATAATTCATTTTATTATGACGTTCTGCATTCTGTTTGTATTAATTTAGCTTGTATTTTTAGATAGTAAATAGGTACGTGAATTTTGCACTGTTTTGCGACACTGCATAATAATACAGAGCAACAACAAAACACGTGTGTTTCAAATTGGGAAGTGGAAAATAAATTGCGGAAATCTCTTCGTCCCTTTTCAACCCCCGACAAAACACTACTTCCGTCTCTATTTCCCGCGCATGCTCCGAAAATCTCAACTGTAGCCTTTGGCATTTTAAAATATTCTCTAGAAGCACGCAATAGAGCGCAACATCGCTTGAATCACTCGACGTGTTTGAAAATCCGAGTATTTTGACGATAAATAACTGGGATTCCCGATTACTGTCAGTTGAATTTGCGCCGCTACGAAGGGTAGACGTCTCTTCAGTAAAGGGCGGGAATTTTACAAAAAATTTTGTGCAGCATCTCTTGCGCGAAATATTAACTTAATTGGAAAAGTTTTATTATTTTTTCTGCTCATCAAACCTACGGAAATGGTTCTATTTCCTGCTTAGTGTACGGTTCAAAGTTTGTTTCTCTAAGAATATCTTTTTCGAAGTAACTAAATAAAATGTTATTGGTGGTAAAGTTGTTGTAACTTTGTCTGAATAATAACCGGTACAGCACTTTTGTAAATATATACGAATGATGTATTAAAAGTTGCGGTGTATAATTATATTGGGGTTTAATTAAGAATGGCTCTAAGTTCGCTGACTCCGTCAAATATGCTTGGAGAGCTAGGTCGCCTTGCTAGCTGGCTGAAGGGCGACTGCCTGGCTCCCGAGGAGTATGCAGGACTTGCTGTAACTGAAAAGGTGAGCGATAGTCTGCGATACGCAATTGTTACCTGACTTTCTACAAACCGGAGATTAAAGAATATATCCTGTAAACAATGAATTCAAGTTGACAGTTCGCTGATGAGAGTGCGTTGTATAAAAGCAATAGTTAGTTAGAAAGTGAAGTGAAGAAAATAATTAGGTAGCTAAAGTTTAGGTTTCTATAGAAAATAACCTGTGTGGAACTTAAAACCAAGATTGAGAAACGGAAACTAGCTCACATAGTCTGTAATTGTATTATCGCCGTGTACCCGACTGCAACGAACGGTTTTATTTTTTTAATACATAATTAATACCTTTAGGTCCTAACTAAAGTAACTTAACTTACTCGTATAAAATGCACTCTAAAACTCATAGACGAGAAAACTATATACAAAATTACTGCAAATTCTGTTTTTTCAGTCAGGAAGATGTAAAACCTATTTTCTATGAGACATTTGTCTCTATTGCGATCTGCTATCAAGAAAACAAATGTTTTACATTATTACGTTAAGGTTTAATATTACGTTTAAGTTTTTATACCCGTTACTTGATAATTTACGCATTTCTCGTCAGGAACGTAACTCCAAAAATATAATAATGTACAAAACCCCTTTAAAAACTAACATGATTTTTATAATAACTATCGTGGGACATACTAAATTAACTAAGAATCGCGGGTTAAACCAAATTCCCTGCGCGACATCGCCGCGACCGCGCACGCTGCTTATGAGGAAGAGCCACTCTGTGGCTCGAAACTAGTAGAGCTTTTCTCAGTATATTCACGTGAGTAACCCGTAATTTTTAGTTGACTAACATGATAATAAGTCATGTCTTTATAATATTCGCAGTATCATCAAGTTACGTTCTTCGAAAGTAATATTTGTCATAAGAAAAGTAATACTTCAACACTTCAACTCCACAAAGCCCCTTTAAGAAGCACTTGACTTGCTTCAAGTTGAATACATGTATGAAGTATAGTAACTAAAGTACGAACTCCTATTTCCTATCAGGAAACGTGAATTTCCAAGGTTTCAAAATAACGTGTGCCATTTTGTGACATTCGAACGTTTTCGGGATGACACGACGTTATCGACAACTTTGGCCCACTTACGTGGAGACTCTTGGAACCCGTTTATTGAAGTGCACATTTCCGCTGACCGACGAACGCTAGTGTTCGGTTTCACGGTCTATATTACCGTCGGAAAAAGAGACTGATACTCTATGTATATACCTACGTTAGCCAAGGAACTCAAGGGAGCAATAAATCATATGGCCGTCTATGCTACTTCTATGTTTGTAGAAAGACCTTCATTCAGTCCTAGCTTAAATGTTGAGTTGCGAACAGTGATTTATTTGCTTTGCGATAAAAAGCTATTTAAAGAAATTGATGATACTAAATGCTTTTCATTGCAACAATACCGCGATTAGATGTCGATTTTAATCTACGGATTGGTAATATCAATAACATATATGTTATTGACAGTCTAATGAAGTGAGCCTTTTGTTAAACGAAGGATATCAGTGTTCATATTATAACTTTCGTGAGACGTTCTAAATGAATTATTATGTTTTTCGGCTTATTCACGTAATTATTTGACGAGGAACTCGACTAATTTTAAAACCATGCTAAAGCCTCATATTCATGAGCAGCATTTCTCGACCCGCGATGCAGCGACTGCGGCAACTGTCGCACTGCTACTCGGCCAGGAGCAGCGCGACACGGCGACAGTCGCCGCGTCGCGGGCGTAAATTAATAAAAATTGTTACTATTCTACAATTGTAACTTCATATTTAGCTGTGCTCGATAGGGTCCATAATTGGGTCCTAGCTCTAAGCCTATGTACTAAGTAACATCTTGTGAAACATTATAGTATGCAACGATATGAATATGAATGCAAGGCTTTAGATTAAGATCGATTTTTTACTTTAGTTGTACGGAGTTCCTGTCAAAAATAAGGAGTGATGTAGAGATTTTAGCTTAAGATTGGTTATATATTCGGTTGTAAATCGCTTTGTGTGTAGTAGCATATTTCAAATACGTAAGTGTGGGAGAGCCATGCTTCGGTACGGGGCCGGCTCGACGGGAGTGGCGGACGGCTTCACAGAAAACCCACGTGAAATAACACTTGCGTTGTGTTTCGTCGTGTGAGTGTGGCAGCGATGGTTGCTTACCATCAGGTGATCCATCTGCTCGTTTACCGGCTTATTCCATAAAAAATGTAAATTATAAAAAGTAGGCAAATAGAATGTATACAATTAATTTGGCTAATTCATTAATCTGTTCCATACAAAAGCCTACTAATGACGTCTGATAACGATATTGCTATGAACGTAAAATGTAATATTTGATGTTTATACATTTTCCTAACGTTTTGTACCAGTAAAAATAAATTTCACGAATTTTAATCGGGCAAAGTGCCAAGTTCGTGCTAGGAGCTCTAAATGTTCAACCTAATGCTCAACCTGGGTGATAAATGTACTATATACTAAATACCAGCCAACATCAAAGTACAAGTAACTTGCGAACATCACTTAATATTCATAACCGACATTAATAAAAATACTCTGATAAAAATACTACTAAAATCATTAATTGCGATTTACGATTTTATTATAAAAATCATTTGAAAGTATTTAATTTACTTACGATTATAACGAGTTGAGTAATAATTTAGTGACTCTTGAGTTCGGCTGTTAGTAAGTATGAAAAATGGAATAAAAATATTTCCAAATTTAGCATATTACTTATAGAAAAAAAACTTCAGCTTAAAATAGATATAGGATACACATATTTGCGATCAGACACGTTAAAACGGGTCTATATAAAG